TATGATACTGAATACTGTTTATAAAGTAAATATTATTATCTTGCAGCTTGTGTTTAGCTGTGTATTGTATGTCCTATAGTGGTTAATAATTAATAAAGGAAATGAGCCTTCTGGTCTTTATTGAATGATAAAGGTTAACTAAATCCTTTAAGCTATGTCTTCCGAAGCCTAATATCAAAATTCAGAGGTAGTGCCACCATCTGTAGTAACTATTCTTCGAGTAAAGCCTAACTTGATTTGCATTACATAAGACATACGCTGATTCTACTTTAAATCTAGGATCATGTAAACTCTATAAAATATGACGATGATATCTTTCTCTTGGTAGAGAAGTTGTTGTACTAAGAGTAGCAGTCAAAGTATTATTAAGGATAATTAGAGTTTAGAATTAACAGCGATTCCGTGGTATATTAGAAATTACATGTCTATTGCGAAAGGTCGCTTTCTGGGATGTAGTATCAAAAATCGTAGCTTGAGCTGTTATTATGCTATGCCACAGAAACCTGCCAAGCATTGTCCTAAAGCCTTTAGTTAGAAAGGGAGAAAGTACAAGGACTTAAGTCTTGTTTTAATGACTTGTACCCAGCTATTGATTTATGGCTACAACAATGGAATCAAGACAAGTAGGGGTCTGGATGTGTTGATGATAAGGGGATAATGGAGCATTTTTTGCTAGAGAACCGATGTTAGCGAGAGCTGATCAATTGTCTTCAGGCTCTCCTCTATGTGTGTGAACAGACCGTGTATGACCTTTAGGATACTCTAGACTAGTTGTCTTAACGACTCCCTATAGGAAACGTAGGTTAAGGTGGGCTATTTAGGTCCTCTGTTTGTTTGTCGGAAGAATCGAATATCGAGATTATCACGGATATATCTTCTACCGGGAGCTAAGGTATTAAAAAATGGATTCCGCGCGCTCCGTGAGGTTCCTAATTTTATTTCTTCCGAGTTTATGTAAGAGTATTCTTTCCTGTTTATTGGTAGCCTAAAAGTCTTAACCTACTTCCGATGTGAAGGCACCGCATATTGAGCTAATATATGTAGTGCGCCTTGGCCGGCACGGGAATTAAGGCAACGAGGTTGTAGATGGACGAAACTGCTGACTACCTATAACGTGCTATGTCTATAGCCTCTGTCCTTGTCTAGGTCTAATGTATAGTCATAACAACCGATAGGACATACGCCCTTTAGATCCTTTTACTTGGTATTTGCCATGAATTCTCCTACTCTGCGTTTTGGGACAAAAAACGGAATCGGATGTAACCTATTTACGCGCCGTTGGTGACTGGGACCTTTAGCGTAACTGGGTTCCATGGAAGTGGGCCGAGATTCCCCCTTTAGGGTCGCCAGGGGTGTAAAACTCTAGCGAAGCTCGATTCAAGCGGTTCGATCCGCGCTAATGATATGCATACGGCGTATGTTACAATTATTGAGCCTCGTTGGGGGATAGGGAAAGATAAGGAAGAAAATTAAAAAAAGTAATAATACCATCCAACGCGATGGGGAGGTGTTGGGGGCAGAACGTCACTAGTGTGGAAGATTTGGAATGGGCGGGCAGCTCCTGCGCCTTCATTTAGGTAGTGATCTCCGTAACTATGGTAGGATTTTAATTTCGGGGAACACACGGAACGTGGAACGTCGCTTCTTTGTCTCCGTACTTATTCTTGAACTTTCTTATCCATGACTTGCAGGGATCGACTGCGGAGCTCAGACCTCTGTCCTCATTAGCCAATCGGCTCGAATGTTGGCCCGAACCGAGCCAGGACAAACTCAGGGATTCTGTCGCGAGTTTGAGACAGTGTCGCGGTTGGGGTGGGATCGCAAGAACAAGGATCAGCGGTCAATGAACGCCGAAGAGCAGGTCACATTGTAGCAGCACTATTTCGGGGTGTCCTTGAGCTGAGATTGGAGGCCCTTGATGGAGTTATCGGACTTTCTATACGGCCGAATCTGCGGGCGAATCTTCTGCATATATCCTTATAGGTGGTATATTCCAGTAGAAACTTCGCTCTCAGGTGATATACAGAACCCTAAAAGGTGTCCTACACGTTTTAGCAGGTCTGAAAAGTGACTTTGTAGCAGCAACTTAGTTGGTTAGTTACAGGAAATTGGTTGTATAATACCAAGCCGAAAATAGCACGGGAGTTGGTAGATCTCTAGCAGCCGGACTGGGGTATCGGGAATAGTGTTGCAACATTTTCCGTGATCAGGATAGTAGCTGCAATGTATTACCACACAAAAGCTTGATGGTTGTATGAATACTTATTTTATCTAGAGGTAGGTAAAACATTTCTTTGTACTCTCTGATTAGTTTAGGCTCTACTATCTTCGAGGCTAAATGGGGATTTTTGTAGATCTACCATTCGAGTTATTGAGATTGATTGTCGTTAACCTCGATTACTACTCCTTGAAATCGTTTTCTCTTGTGAATAAAAGTTGCAGATCAATCAGCACCCTAGATATCTTCTATACGCTTAAAGTCGAGTTCTCGGAATAAGGGATGAAGAGGCTAAAGGGGCTTGCAGTTTCTACTTTAGCGCAATATGTGAAAATACTTCATTATGATACATCAGAGTTGATCGATCCATATATGTGACTTTGAAGCTTTTTATCTAGCTTATTACTGATCTTTCTAGTGATATAGTATAGGGACTATTTTTCTGCCTGTATTTATATATCACAGGAGTATGCTAGAGATTAGGAGGATTTCCGGTGGGAGCTCAGAGGAAAGCAATTTTCCTATAAGGCAATCTTTCACTATTTCAGCGGACTTGCAAGAGCTCAGAGTTTACTTTTAGAAGAGCGGACGGATATCCAAATATTTGTGGTATTACTTCGGTATCTCTCCAACCTAAATACTATTAGGCTCTCCTTTTACGGAGCAAAGGAAGATTAACTTATTTGGTTTTCTAATCGCGTATTTCTTGGGAACTCACTTCTCACTCACCTTAAGACGGTATTTAAGGGTATCACTACAGCTCAGGCGACAGGATTAAGCTTGAAATGTTTTAAGATTGATAGAATGCATTCCAAACTGACCTCTAAAGACGACAATATCCTCGAAATTGCAACAGTTGCTTTAGCGAAAGTCGAGAGCTTGACGCTGATAGACAGCCCAGGGTTTCTGGAGTTAGTGTCCTATGCCCCTTTGCCTTCCTTGCGACGGCTGGAACTAGCAAAGTGTTGGCTTGTAGGCCTGAATTTGAAAAGGTTCCTGAAAGCCCAAGATGGGAGAGTACTGCATGTATATTTTAAAGACAGGAATCAACTGTACCATGAGACATGGAACACGGATGACGACTCAGAACTGAAAGTTCGGACAGAATCCTTTCTCTACTCTGGGAATATTGGCCTACAGGGATGTCTTTTACTTACAGGAGATTGTATATATTAAACGAGGATTTTACGGTAAACCTTCGAAAGTCTTAAGATAAATATAATACTGCGACACTAAAAACCGGTCGCATAGGAAGTAGCAATACATAAAGCAGCTAGGAGGTTTATCATTAATATCTGATTTTTGGCTGAGATAGACAAGTAAATTTAGCTTTTAGGTAACAAGAAGCGAGCTTCTTAGCGATCAATTTGCCGAAAGCGACTCGCTCAGCATATATATAAGCTCTAGAGCCTTTGAAGTCAGACTTACTAACATCTCCGATCAGTTAAGAGGCTTCAAATCAAAGTAGACCCTACCGAGGTACGATTGAAGACAGATACCGAATGTCTCTATATATAGCAGATAGAAGATCCGTCTCTCGAGCATCTTTTTCAGAAGCATATGAGTAAACACTCGGTAGGGGCCTATATGCTGCTTCACCGCGAAGTAGGCCAGAAGTTTTATGCAATCCCTACAAAAGTAATTATAGTGGCCCCTCGTGGATAAACCATTAAGCTCACGGGAGTTCATAGTGCAAAGAAAACCAAACGGAGCTTAATATTATTGCCCATATGCGAGCTGAGAATCTTAGTCTCGCAGAGAAACTAAGGGCGTCCGAAGATAAAGCATCTCGTTACGAGGAGGCTGCAGCACAAGCGGAAGCCGAGATCAAAGACCAGAATTCAATAATCCAGGAAGCGCAAACCACCATACATCTTCACCAACAGGACATTTCGAACTGGATGGCCGTTGCCGAGTGGTATCAGACCAAATGTTTCCAGTGCTCAAATATGTTAGGACAAATGATGGCATTCTTACAGGACACTACATCTGATACTAAGTGAACACTAGCTTTTCTTAAGGCTTCATGCTTCGTTTTCATTCACATGTCTCTTGTTTTCATTCACATGTCTCTTGTTATACATTACAGTTTTGCCGCATGTAGGCGTTGAGCCGTACGAGTCCTCTATATCAACGCCCTCTGTAGCGATCAGTAGCTTTAGTAGCAACCGACCGAGCTCCCTTTTCTGGCGCAGATTTACACAAACTGAGACAAGCTATAGTTTGTCCTTCTCAAATGAGGACTAGTCAGGTGATAACCAATAGGGATTTGGAGATAAAATCAGTCAAAAGAATATCATCGTTTCTGGCCTGCAACATCGTTTCTGGCCTGCAACATCGTTTCTGGCCTGCAGCATCGTTTCTGGCCTGCAGCATCGTTTCTGGCCTGCAGCATCGTTTCTGGCCTGCAGCATCGTTTCTGGCCTGCAGCATCGTTTCTGGCCTGCAGCATCGTTTCTGGCCTGCAGCATCGTTTCTGGCCTGCAGCATCGTTTCTGGCCTGCAGCATCGTTTCTGGCCTGCAGCATCGTTTCTGGCCTGCAGCATCGTTTCTGGCCTGCAGCATCGTTTCTGGCCTGCAGCATCGTTTCTGGCCTGCAGCATCGTTTCTGGCCTGCAGCATCGTTTCTGGCCTGCAGCATTGTTCTTGGAACCCGCAACCTCTAGTCATGTGCACGGGTTCGTATATTTCACAACTGCGGCATCAAAATTTGTATAAATCTATTCTGCTTTCTCCAAACTTAACGGTAGAACCGCTGTTCAAAAAGGTAAATTATTGAATATGGCTAAAAGTGAAAAAGAGAAAAAGAAGGCACTGGAGGCCAAGGATGCCCGGAGAAATGCCCGTGATATCCAAACACCCGCACCTACCGAAGTGGGCTCCGAATCCGAATCTCAACAAGCTGAATCCTCGAGAGCACAAGAATTGATAAAGGCTGGTGGAGATAAAAAAGGCAAAACTCCTGAGCGGACAAGATCTGAATCTCCACAAGCTGAATCCTCGAGAGCACAAGAATTGATAAAGGCTGGTGGAGATAAAAAAGGCAAAACTCCTGAGCGGACAAGATCTGAATCTCCACAAGCTGAATCCTCGAGAGCACAAGAATTGATAAAGGCTGGTGGAGATAAAAAAGGCAAAACTCCCGAACCAAGGAGGCAGTATGCTAGAAGTCCAACCCGTGCAGGTGACTTTGCCCCAAATGCGAGTGATTACGAGTCAGATGGCGAAACGGATCTCGACAGCGATTATTCTGATCAAGATGTTCCCATGGAAGACAAGCTACAGCCACTGAGTCGCTGGGTCAAGGATGTCATTCGAAGCGAGGCATTGAGAGAGTCAGGAAGAATGGTTGAGGGGTTTTTTACATCTGACAACCCCTCGTACGAAGAATGTTCGGTATTCTTTCAAAGGCTAAACCAAAAAGTTCGAGGGGCCAACGACCAGCATGATGTCATGGACCTTGATACTGGTACTATCCCCGAGACTGGCTACAATGCCCTATGCCAGGCCTTCCAGCAAGCAGCAAAGAAAGCCGTCGACAATAGCTCCCCAGAGGAGTTTTGGGAGGCTTACAATAACACCTATGATCTTTTAACGAGGTTCAACAAACGACATTGTCTCCCTAAGTCCTGGAATATTAGTGAACTGTGGGCCGAGAATTGGATTGGGTCACCGAATCCTAGGATTAGGATTGATGAAGATACCAGCTCCACTTCTGATAGCGACATCCAGGCTGGCGACATCCAGGCTGACAAGACCAGTGAAGAATCTAGTGCCGAATCGGACATTGATATTGACAGTGATCATCAACCCACAGGGCTTGATGCTTTAGAAGTGAGAACCAATAAACAGCAACGCCAATTGAACTCAGCCAAAGTATTGTATTGGTGGCCCAAAGGCACTGGCTCTCAGATATTTGTGCGCTACGGAAGTAGGTCTACGCCGATCTATCGCATTCGTGCTGGGTCACATGAGAGCTACAACCCAAGTCAGGTAGAACGGGTTTTGACCATGTTGACTCGCGGCACCGCTAAGGTAACCGGGACCAAGAACGGGCTTCCTGAAGAGTTTTGGAAATATCAACGAAGAGACGTGGAAGACTTGGTTGGCATCGGTTGGAAGGTCGAAGAGGACGATGAGCAGGGTCTTAATCCTCTCAACTTGCTCCTGCCCGCTAAAGACATAGTCTATCCACAAACTCGGATTCTTGTCAAATGGAAAGACGGTCGTTTTACTCTAGAAGGGCGATCCTTCATCCGCCGTATCACAACGGGCTCGGCTTTGGACGGTGATAGGGTGATTTATCAAAGGGCCGAAGAGCTCGAGGATTCTTACCGCAAAAAGCATGGGTTGTTTGATATCGAAGATGATGACTTCGAAGATGATGACTTCGAAGATGATGATATCAATACCGAAAGCGACAGCTCAACTCAGTCAAATAAGGCTCGCAACAGAAGACACCGTAGCGAACCAGCTCGCTACTCGAACCCACGCAGCCAAAGCTCCAGGCACCGTAGCGAACCAGCTCGCTACTCCAGTCCACACAGCCAAAGCTCCAGGCACCGTAGCGAACCAGCTCGCTCTTCGAACCCACGCAGCCAAAGCTCCAGGCACCGTAGCGAACCAGCTCGCTCTTCGAACCCACGCAGCCAAAGCTCCAAGCACCGTAGCGAACCAGCTCGCTCTTCGAACCCACGCAGCCAAAGCTCCAGGCACCGTAGCGAACCAGCTCGCTCTTCGAACCTACGCAGCCAAAGCTCCAGGCACCGTAGCGAACCAGCTCGCTCTTCGAACCCACGCAGCCAAAGCTCCAAGCACCGTAGCGAACCAGCTCGCTCTTCGAACCCACACAGCCAAAGCTCCAAGCACCGTAGCGAACCAGCTCGCTCTTCGAACCTACGCAGCCAAAGCTCCAGGCACCGTAGCGAACCAGCTCGCTCTTCGAACCCACGCAGCCAAAGCTCCAAGCACCGTAGCGAACCAGCTCGCTACTCCAGTCCACACAGCCAAAGCTCCAGGCACCGTAGCGAACCTGCTCGTCACTCGCATTCACGCCGCAAACAGAGTCCAACCCAATTTGAGGACAGTACCGATGAAGATAGCGACGTCGTCCGCAACCCACCGGCCAGTGAAAGACCACGTAAAGTGCGATGGATACGTTGATAGCGAACCAACCGCTGGGGGAGCATAGTATGATGAGCACCTATTTTGTGGTCCTCCTATTAGCCGGTCTCACACAGCCCGGAAATTTGTCTGTTCTGTTATTCTGCCTTTGTTTCGTCAGCGGCGGCTCTGAAATTCATTGTCTTTCTGATGACCTCGCTTTACACGTTGCTTTTGGTTTGTTTATTATTTAGCTTACAAATTGCCAGATTCAAGCTAGTTCCCCAATATATCACCATATCACGAGCTCCTCTCCCCGTAAGCAATCTGCGATACTACAACGAGACCCCACTAGCAGATATAAATCCTTAGCTATGGGCCCACTTCACTTGTATCTTTTAATTATCGAAGATTGCTAGTAGTCTCAACCCTGTATACTAGCCTTCAAAAAGCAATCTTAGACATAGTTTTAAGGATCGTGTTACAATAGGATTGATATGAGAAAGCACCGTAATCCGATTCAGTATGTAAAAGGTGGACAGAGAAGGGTGGAAAGGAGAAACAAATCTGTCAAATTCATTGCCTGATTTATCAGGAATCCGACACATGTCACAGAGTTAGGGTACATCTAATCATGTGGGATTACCGCACTTATCTTTCGAATCCGGGCAGGCTCTTATGAGAGTTATAACCCGAGAAAAGTAGAGCGGGTATTGATTTCTTTAGATACTGCCAAGGAGGTAGAAGAAGATCTCGTTAAATGGAGAGATGGGACTCGCACTGTCGAAGGAAGATCATTCATCAGACGAATCACCATGTGATGGTCGCAATAAAGCCCAGCGAAAGCGCAGCAAGCGCTCGCGGTGGTCCTCAGAAGAGGTAGATTTTTTGCTGGAGTTAATAAGAGACGAGCAACGACCATGGTCGGACGTGACGAGCTTATTTTTGGACCGATATCCGGGAAGAAGTCCTGCTGCGATTCAAGTATACTGGAGTACGTGCGGGCGTCGAGAAAGCAAGGCCAAGAGTACAACAACTACCGTCTAAAACGAAGCATATGTTTAACCGTCTCCAGTACATATCGCTAAAATCTACGTTCTTGAGGAATACCTCCAATGTGGGACATATCCATATGAAAGCCACGGATCAGTAAAATCTCCCCTTCAGCGTAATACCTTGTCGACAAGTCGTCGTCCATGTCGAAGGTCTGGCGGCCGCATACAAGAGACGATCTGGGAACGGCGCCTTCCCATGACTAACTAGAGGAATTGTAAGGGCAGAACTGAAGTTATGAGCACTTCGGGTTGGCTTGGCTTAATTTTTCACAAGTCTTGCTCCGAGAGTGGGCCGTTCCTTCTGCCTTAATGATCTTAGGACTGGTATGGTTGGTCATGGCGAACGCCCTAGAATATGAATACGATATCGCCCACTCTCTGCAATAAGTTCACTCGACAACCCTCTTCTAGTACCAATATCAGCAGATAAACGAGTGACACATAATTGATTTTAACACCCAAGGGGGGTTGAGGTTCCACCGCCTGCCACGGAAAACGAACTGTCACGGGAGAATGCGCGTATGCAAGTTCACCAGTTTACTCACCCCCTGGCCCGATGCGGCCGAGGGTAGTCGATGACGATGATTGGATTGGCATGGGACGGGTGGACTATCAGCTGCAGGAGAAGCGCGGACTGGCAAACCCAGCGCCTGCAACCATGGCCCGCAGTGCGCCAGGCAACAAACACGCTTTGACCTTTTGTGCTTCAGAGTCACCGTTCCAAAATATATTAGTCTCGTCAGTATATGGATAATTTCAGTCCTACAGTCACTATGTCGAGAATTATTGTCTCACTCGTAAGGCCCCGCTTTCGCCCTCCAATCAAACCCGCTTTCTACACAGGACATGTTGAGAGCAGTTATCCAGTGCCCCTAGAAAAGCTAAAGCTAAAGCTAACTCGCAACCAGCAAGCTTGCAGCAATACATCACACACCCCACCAAAATAGAAACACGCACAGAATTATACGGATTCCTCGCAACCTACGATAGGCTAAGGCCGAAGAGAAGATTAGGTAATGTCACCTGATTAAAGGCGATAGTGTATGCAGACATGATTGGTTCGCTGTTACTCCTTCTCTGCCTTGGAGTAACCCCTCGATCGGACGCAAAATGATCAATCAAATATATTACCGTCGACTAGCTCGTCAAAATAGCAGTTGATACTATCACCGTTTTTTAAGCTGGTGTACGAAGTGGGATTTTGTAGCTTTATTGCTTTTAGAGAAGTCGATCGGCGAGGACATCCCGTTCGAAAATAAATCAAATTCTACGGATAAATTATTAACGCATATGATACATGTTTACCAAGGCTTTGTCGCGCCGATCGCCCCCTTCCTTCCCTTATTATAAAAGCCTTTGCTCCTGACTCCAACATCTGACCTCCCTTCAAAAAAAATCGATTCTTTACCAAATGGCCACCGAAAATACCTGTTCAGCGTGTAGCTGGTCCCAAACACGTCAAGACGCATGTCGTTACCAGAGTCACGTGAACCTTTTCTACGGGGTCAGCAATCGAGGGGTGTGGTCTTTAGGCTCAAACTTGATCCTAAAAGAACGGTCTACCGAGCCACCAAACTTTGAGGTCCCCAATATCGGGTTTTTGGCGTCAAGAACCTCAATTCCTATACCTCAAATCGTTGAAGAATGGCAAGAAGACGACGGGGCATATTTTCTCCTTACCAAACGAATTCGAGGTCAACCATTGAGTGAAATTTGGCCAAAGATGACATCGGACGACAAAGAACGCGTCGCAAAACAGACCGCTGAGTACTTGATGCAGCTTCATGAGCTTCGCTCGGACCGACTGGAGAGCATCGGCGGACAGCCAATCTACTCAGCCTTTCTTTTTCCGAATGGCTATGGCATTGGACACGGGCCGTTTTCATCTGACGATGAATTATGGGCTGAGATGTCGTTGGCCTTGGCTCAAGTGCCGGAGCAAATTCGTTCGAAATTGCGTCAACGGATGCCAGCTGCGGCTCCCTATACATTTACTCACGGCGACCTAACCAACGTCAATATCATTGTCGAGAATGGTAACCTGGCAGGGATTCTGGACTGGGAATCTTCGGCCTTTTTCCCTGTTTGGTGGGAATTTACTTGTGCGGGAATTGGCCTGGGGCAAGATGATAAAGAATGGAAGGACTTGCTTTGCACACATCTACCGGATCATACTAAGGCCCGCAATTTTTGGCTGGATTTCTTTGCATTGCGCAACTATCCTAAGTTGAATGAGAGAGGACTGGCATTTCTAAAGGAATGTGGTTCGGGCTTGCCAGAGAAGGAAACATAAGAATCGAAGAGAGCCATCGCTTTGTTCCACACATTGTTCACAGTAAAAGTAATGATTGGCACTGTCTTGGGCAAAACGCAGACTTTAGGATATATTCTTTCTTCACAGGTTTGTATCAGCCTGCTTATAAGCGATGGCAGCCATCTAGTATTTATGAGATTGGAATTGGAGCTCTGCCGGGATATTATCGAGACGTACCATATCCAAATTAATCTCATACATCGATGCAGGGAGTTCGGTATTGCAGAACTCGCAATGAGTTCTCCCGGTCACGTTGCCTTTTTTGCAAGTTGGGTTTGGACAATTCATATTTGATGGGCTTTTCGGCGGGGCGTTTTGTAGGAAGAGGATGTGAGGCAGTACTAATAGAAAGGTGTTACCTGACAAGGAATTGTCAATGACTTTATAACTTTTTCCCTCTTAGGGGTGACGGACTGGATATTGGTATTAGCGGGGGAACGAACGAACGGGCCTTTCTCCCACATTTCCAACAGCGGTTGACTATAATGTACTACGCTGTATGACAATTCAATCCAACCGATAGGTGTCACTAGAGAAATGATACTGACACGTGAAAAAAGAAGAAAGAGGCTCGTTTCCAATTTGAGTATCTCAGCACTCTGCCTCGCATTTCTTGGACGGAGTGCCAACCCCGCACGCGGTGGTGACATGGCATATCAATCAATCGTAGGACTGGGCTGGGCCAGTTCCCCACTGCATTGCTGTCCAATAAAATGATCCCGCCCCCATCAAAGCAGTGAGGAACTTGCCTGCATTAGGTGTGTGATAATGCAGGCAGACTGCGCAATGTTGTAATTAGCGAATCACTCTCATTCGATCGACTACACAAGCGAAGGCCCAGCTTTCAACTGCTTACCGCGCCTTGCGCATACGTAAAAGCTATATCAAAACAGACCCACATTTCGATGTTGAACACTCGAATGTGGGTCCGAACCCTACTCTAGCTATGCTATCGGGGCCATTCACAAACCACATTTTGAAGTTCGACACTCGAACGGGGCTAAGACTTGCCCAGAAGTTCGCATTGTCGACCGTGTGTCCAAGCTCATGGTAAAAACTAAAGATTAAGCCTAACCCCCGAATGCTATTTTGAACTATCTCATCTTATTGAAATGGACCTTCTAGTCGCCTTGGAGACAATACGCAATGCATCTGATGCCAATCTTCACTCGTATGCAGCACAGACCATTTTGACGCTTAGGAGAGTCGGTCAACGTCTTCAGCACAACCTAATACCGTCGACACCTGGTTTTCAGGCGACTCTTACGGACTCACCAAGCGTGCCATCTCCTCCACTTTCACCTCATCTTCTTCAAGTTGCAGTACCCGGACGTGTGCCAAATTCAAATTCCAAATCTCCTCAACCTCTTCAGGCTGCCGGGTTAACCGATCATTTTGAAACCCTAAGCGTGCCATCTCCTCCACATTCACCTCAACCTTTCCAAGTTGCTGGAACGACGGCACTTAGCAACCAAGGCGTCTTGTCTCCACAAACATCTCACTTCGCTAGCCTGCAAGTTTCCACTCCAACCACCCAGTTGATACCGATCAGAGACGCCTCCAGGAGTTCTATACCCGCGGAATCCAAACGTGTTCTTCTACCTCCAGACCATATCCCTGACTTATTGAAACGAATAAAGCAATCAGCAAGTTGGGTGTGGGAAGCTAGCCAAAAGTTACCAAGCCACCTACTATCTCGCAAGCGAAATTGTGACGAGGATCTTCGATTGGAGCACATAAGGCGCATAGATGGAGATCGAGGACTTGGTCCCGAGGCTAAGCTCTTGAGACTTCTTGCCCTTAGGTCCATTGCTCTGGAATTCACAAACGAACAGCTAGATCACGAAGTTTATCCGACGAAACTTGAGGAAATTTATAAACACATCTTGTCTCCAACTTCTTCTGAAATCAATATTTTCAATTATGGGAACAACAGTTTCTTCTCGAAAGCCTTATCTACTGGTCTCAAGCATATGGTTTTTGAAAAGATCATTTCCGAACGCCTAAAAGAAAATGATTTGCCAAGCATATGCAATGCAATTTCCGCCATTGCTGGACTGCATATAGATCAATTTCGAAGATTCCGCTATGACGAAATGCAAGGCTTTGCGGACAAATTAATTTCAGGCGATATATATGTCACGATTTTGCAGAGCAAGATACATCTGCTCGACCTAGTACGAGACCTTAGCCCATGGTTCAATCAATTGCAAAATTCCTACAATTGTGAGCTGACTTCGTTCAACGAGTTAACCTACTCCATGCTAACTTTTCTTAAGTGATTTTCTGTCATGGCCTAGTTTCGGGGATAGAATCGGGGAGAGAGAAGTTCCGAAGAACCGATAATTCCGCTGGATGCCCTGTCTCTGTTTCGCCAGATTCGGTTCCATCGAACTTGGAGTTTACAAACATCGATGACACCGACGACGGAGCCGAATCGCTAAACCCAGAGGATTGTACCGAGGCCGAATTTGCGCACCGTTTCTATGAACAAATTTCCAACCAACCCATTGATGTTTCCGGAATTATGGATGATATTGCCCAAAGGTCTTGCTTTGATTTTGAACAAATCACTCCACTGCACAATCTCGGTCTATGATCTCACCAGAAACCTCATGTATCTTAATGAGGATGTATATTAATGAGGTGACAATGCTAACTTCCCAATTTATACCCCCAAATCCCTAATTTCGCGTTATTCTCAATCACCAGTCGACTTTCACCATACACGTGATAGTAGTGATCCAACTGAACTGTTTCTTCGCCGAGTGTCACTTTCCCCTTGATGTAAAACGGTATAATTGCCATATAGGGTTGGCCAACTATATTTACACCTGAGGAGAAAACCTGGAGAGCAGGTCTTATTCCGTATTGTTTTAATCGGCGCTCCTTTCGAACGGGGTTATTCTATTCCAAGTCAGAACCCAATTATATTGAAGCTGAATCATGCATCCTCACCAAAGAGAGCTCTTCAATCTTGGCGATTACCTCCCTCCCCCGGCCCTGCACCAGCATAGTGGCGGATATCCGATCAGAAGGGATTGACAGGGATTCTGCTATAGACTGATCATTTTCGCAAGCCTCGGTGTAGATGTCTTTGATGGATGAAGGTATCGCCAAAGATTCCACCAAGTTGTCATCTGAACCCTGCGTAGCCATAGATAGATATGCGCTCGGATCGGATTGCGAGAGGAGCGACTGCGAATGTAGTTGAACAGCACCGAAATCTGTTGACCTTTTATCAGTATAGCCGATGCAATATGTTCTGGTTACTCACATGAAGTGTAAACGCCTGTTAAGGGTCTTGTAAAGATAATATTGGGCAGAAGTAGCGCGGGGCTCGTTGGACGCTCCGAAAGGCGGATAATCTCCCGGGGAGCGGTGGATAGTTCTTCCGTTATATGCAAGCTTAAATATCAAATCGAGCCAAGAAAACAAATCAAACGTTCTTATTCGGGGAAGGCACCGGCCGTGTCCGCTTATCAGCCATAACGGTCAAAACAATCATTGCGGGTTTCATGCCATATATATGGATCAATCGATCACCACTATTGATTGTTGCCCTTGAAACGAAGAAACGGTTCTATTGATATGCCCCCCCAGCCTAGATCTTTCCATACAACCATTTTCGACACATTCTGTCAACCCTTCTACTACTTGAAGTATCATCTGTTCAGGATTCAAGGTTGTATCCCACGACCCCACTGTCAGATCATTTGATAAGCGGCGGAAGTTCCAGATCACCCGAATACCACAGCTCCATCCATCGTCTTGTTGGGGGTTGGCTGAGTTTGTATGACAGGTCAGCTATAGTGGAAATCCCAGTAGGTTAATATGCCTCACAGTTTCTTGATATGAAAATCTAAGATACCCAAATGCTTTCTGGGCTAGCTTTGATATCCAAGTTCTTTTTGTGCCTTTGGTGATGTCTTCGCTCGCATTTGAATCATAGTGGCGGATAACCCTCTTCCTTTCGTTGACTTCAAGAAGAGAAAAGTGATTCCCATGGTTGATAGGACGGTAATGAACCAAAGACGCTGAGAAATTTGGAGCATTTCCATTTTTTTGCCGATCTTCTTCAATATCCTTGGCCCAGCCTGCTAGAGGATCCTTCACTCTTATTTTCTTTTCGGATCCATCCTCGTATAATGGGACACTTAAGCCGTATCTAACATACCATGGTCTGTCCGATATTAGCATTGCGGCGTATATGGTCCAAGAGTTTAGCCATGTATCAGGACGAAGTCGCTGGAAAATGTCACAGGATATTTTAGAACGTCCACAAATTGTAAGCGTATCGTACTCATCTAACTTCTGTTGACCTAACACCTTCTCTTCGATGCTTTTGATTAAGATGCTGATAGCAATTTCAAGTTTTCCAGATGGTAATTTGTCCTAGGGGTGCGAGTTAGTAGCATCGATAAGGATAATCATGTTGGTACTTACTTGTTTTAAGATATATTCATTCTATAACTCCTATATCTTGCACTCCGATAACAGCTTTTTACCGTTGAGATCCGCGTAGAATGAGTGAAGATCGGGAAGGCCATGATCAACTAGCCGTTAGAGCTACGGGCTCAGGGTGGTAAGGAGTTCCATATGTTCGCGATTATCCTTGATATTTTGTATCGCAAGATCAAGATCCTTAGGACTCATTTTCGTATATTTCCTTGAAACTATTAACAATTGAACGGTACCCTATGATCAGATTTCCCTTACCAGATAGACGGGCTAAATAGTATACCTAGTCCCAACTCCTTCACGATTTTCGTGCTGAGTTTGTGGCCTCGCGAGAGCCGATTGCGAAGAGCTTTTCTTCTAGCTTCTTTCTCTCTCTGTGAGATACTAAAACCGGGGTTGGGAGACTGGTCGCGAGATTCGTCTTGTACTGTAATTGGTCCAACTCTACACATACTCCGACTTCCTCCCTATGTTTGTTGGTCTTGAATCCGGTCAAGTACCCCTATAGTTGCTTGGCGACGGGTTACTGTTCTCATGGCAAGTTGGATCTGGCTCTCGTACCACTCCGATGCCCCCATATACTCAATCATATTGAAGATGGTAAGTTGGACCCTTGTAGATGCTCCTCTCTCGAGAATTTCTACCCAGGTAGAGCCGTCGGACCATTCGATGTTCGCAACTGCACTGCAGCTTTGGCTGTTTAACGTCTCTAGGATCATTTTATGAACATCCCTCGGGACACCATCATTGTGTGTACTGAGCTGGTGGAGAGTTCTAGTTGCCTCAATTATCAACTCCAGAATAGGCCTAGGATAGTCCTCGATGGCCGGTCTAGGCGATTCCGGAGGTTTGCCAGTGGGTATATCGTTTTGGCCGGGTCTAGCATGGTCGCAAGCGTTAAGTGGAGTATTTGGCAAATCCATTTTCTTTCTGGTGCCATCGACGCTTTGAATATCCAGTTTGCTAGATTTTGGTGGACGATAAGAGGGGTCCTGGGTGAGCCTTCGTTTCCGTGGCGTTATGCATTCCTCGGAGATTTCTCGAATAGAGGCATCTTTCTTCTCTTGAACAACTTCGGCAATAGCATTCGCAATATTCGGCGCTTTCTCACATAATGCACGAATTAAAGTACGAAACTAATTTAGTTAGTCGAAAGTTACCCCCTAAATATTTATTTTCGTACCTTCAAATTGTCCCGAATTTCGAAGCTTGTGTAAGAAGCAAAGTGACCAGCTAGAAATATCAGCTCAGTCTGGAACACGTTCGGTAGATATGTATCCATTGCGATTTGGGAATACATATATGATAAGTAAGGGAGTGAGAGGGGAGGTAGTGAGTGTATAACGGAAAAGGGGGAAGTTTATATATTTCGGTATCCTGGGATATTGAAATGAGATCACATGCCCCTGGGTCCGCAGGCCAGTCTTGGCAAGATATACCTGGTTAATTAATTTTAGTACTGTACAACTAAAGCGGTCCGTAATTTGACAGGGGTGATCATGACGTTGTTTTTGTTTGTAAAATTACATTTTATTTTTTTCAACTGGTTAGCTCTACTTCTTTCGTATTCTAAGAAAGAGTACTTCGATCTATACCACAAGGAAGTAAAGGGCAAGGAAGAATATCAAACACGTTGAAATTTATAGATATGTTTCCGGGCACTCGATCTGTTTTTCAAAATGCTTTAGGAGTGTGTCAAGGCGATTGAGTTCGTTCTTGATCCACTGGATACAGCGTTGATCATTTGACTTGTAGACTAAACTCGCTGCCTTATGGTATTGGCATATAATCCCCGTTAAAGCGTGAAACGCAGTCTCAGGATAAGAACGACCGTATTCTACGGCGAAAAGTGGATCGGAGCTCAACAACCGCAAATCGCTCCGGTCAGTGACACAGCATCTGACTCGTTCAACTATAGCTTTGTCGACCGCTAGGTCAAACTGGTCTTTGCCAAGAGGGATAACGATGACAACCATGCCATCATCCCCTGGCGGAATTTTCGAGTTGAGATGAACGAGAGGATGGCATTCGTCGGAAAGTCGGTTACAAAGTCCGCAGTCGAAGGAAACTTGGATACGCATAGTCTATGTGGTAGGCTTTAGTAACATGCTAGGAGACAAAGGAGGTTATATCTGACTATGAGTGGTTCCATTTGAAAGAATGTTTGTGCTGGCCTCTGGTTGAAAGGCCCGGTGTTTGGCAGACCCTGCTTTTGCTTAGGTGGCAAGTGGCTTCTTATAGGAGAGAACCTTGGATGTAAGAACTAGACGGACTCCGCCATTTATGCACAAGACTTTTTCTTATAAATACATAATTCCCAAACAGTATAGCTTAGAATGCATACCCTACATAGTTAACGTTAGTTAGACATTATTGCTTGATGTCTGATAAATCAGGCAGCGAATGTGACAGATCCCGAATGTTTTACATAGCAAGATAGTTCCCTCTCTTCCTCCTTTTACATATTGAATCGGATTGCATTGCTTTTCTCATATCAAGTCCATTGTAACATGATTCCCAAGAATTATGCCGTCTACAGAGACCGAATCGGCGTTATTAATCTATCAAAGCCAGCTGGCATGTCGGTTGATTTACCAGTGACTTGGTACTATGCTATCGCCTCCCTAAATCTTGAACCTTCTTAGATCATACCCCCGAAGGTCATACTGTCCCTTCCTACTTAGGTGGCCCGAACTTAAAGGGAAAAGTAAATTGATTAATGGCAAAATTCCTGCTCGACGATTCATGTCACCAAAGATATCTTAAAACCCAAAATCACGGCTCAACTCCATTGGACGTAGCATTACCAAAAGTCAAAGCATGGACAAGCACATCCAATGTTGCTATCGCATTGTGCCAATCACCGGGCTTTTCTTTCAATTGGAACTTCACTGACCAATCCACCATCCCGTAAGGCAGAACTTTAGTTAAGATATAGATCCCAATTTTGACTTTGGCTCCTGTGAGGTTGGCGATGACCTGGCTATCGACATACATCCCAAGTTTCAAGATGAGTATCGTCAACTTCCCTTCCTCTGTATTTAGAAATGTTGTAATTTGAAGCCAGCCCCGCATCAAGACCTTCATTTCCAAAAGTATGCGGGGTTTTTCTGTTTGACCCTCGTAATAAATCCATAGACCGCCATATATTTCAGCAAGCATAAGCTGCTGTTCTTGTCGGAGAGCAAAGAGGCAGTGGCATTCGCTATGCAGTTTTCGGGAGATGAGCCTGTAGGAAATGCCTCCTATGACTGGAGACCCATACATGCGTATAACTACCACATCTGTATTATGTTAATTTCCAGCTCCTAGTAAATAAGGACATGGTATAGATCCTTACCGCTGGGAACTTGATAGACACCTGGCATAATTTTGCATAGTGTTTGTATATCTGTATCTCGGGAAACAGAATAAAGAAGCTCGAGTACCTGCCAAATATGATCGCAATGTTTAGAACTTTGAAGGGCTTCATAAACACGAGTAAGGGAGAAAGATGTAGTGATGCTGCCGCACTCGCGCTGTAACTCGTCATCGATAGGCTCGTACAAAGACCCTGCCTTGATGAGAAAATCTGTCCAAAAGTTAGCTAATTGTTTGACCCAATTGGTATACTCTTTCTAACCACGCGGAACGTTATAGATCCCCTCCCGTATCTTCGAGAATTCGGCATCGCGTTCGCTAGATACTGAAAGGGCTTGTTTTAGTTTATAAAAGTAGGATCAGTGTTATATGTAATTCAACAAACATACCATCTTGAACAAACTGCATTTTGAGTATATGATGACCACGGGTATATTTGTATGGTATGTCTTCTCCGATCTATATAATATACTGGGCCTAAGTAAGATAGAGCTAGCAGGTAAAGGAGGATATATACTGACTTTGAGTGGTTCAATATGAAGTCTGTTGTGATGTCTAGCCAGCGTGGTTGAAAGTGTCAGCGTTCGGTGTAGCCTGATTTTTGATGGGGCGACGAGGGGCTTTTTGTAGTAGAGCATCTTGGCTATAAGCAGTGAATAGTCACCGCCAATTCTGCACAATGCCCGAGTAAGACAAAACACCACGTAAAATCAATCTACCTCTTTGGATATATTGTCCCAAGTCTCAAAGATTCAAAGAAGCGAAAGAATCAAGTAACATTTCAGAGCTGCAAATTGCTACTAGGCTCAGCCTTAATTGCTGGCCTCCAGAAATCGATGAATGTTGGATGGTCGTAGAGTTAGGGTGCATCTAGTCACGTGGGTAGCAATAAGAATTGGTTGTGTATGCTATCCCGGAACCGATTAATTGCCCGAAATTTAATTCCCAGAAAAGCAGTGGGCACTAGCCAAGCCCTTTCGTGTGTTTTTGTTAAGATCTACAGGCAAGTAAAGGAAGTCACAATGTATGTTATTGTGTATGTAGATAGATGTACAAACATAGGGAAAGCAGAGACTAATCTACTACTATGGACCACCCAGATCATGTGACCTATGAGAGGTATCAAACAGTTTTGAAATCTAAGAGCGAAATACAAGCTAACGACCTCATGTGCACCAGGAATCAATGACTGTCCTACAGCAGATCATCTGCTTGCAGGAAGTCAGCAGGAGCATCTGTAGGCTGGACCCCGGAGGGCGCCTGCTCTAGAAGATTCGGTACTGTGAGCGAGTACATGATAGCATCGGATTGAGCCCTAAAGTGGGAGGATATGATGGACAAGTGACGTGAGTTGTAACCGAGATATTCACATATATCTGCCAGCCTATGTTGAAATGTCAGTTATGTCTTATCATGGTGTCGCGGAGTGCTTACTGGATCGTACCACTTGTGAGATAATGGACAATAGAGGGAATGCAGTATGATATCCAGACCTCTCCGCAAAGTGGCATGTCTGCCTTTCCTAGATGTCGTACTACTTCTTCATAGCTCGTTGCGTCATTAGCGGCGAAACGCGCGAATTGAGCCGGTGTCCGGTTCTCTACATTCAAGGTCAGCAGTGTTTGCCAGGGCAGGGAACCAAAGAACGTACCCAGGAGAAAGATTTCCCAGCTCTTATATCCCCAACCATTCTCCAGAAGCGCTGCCGCACATCGATTGACCCACAAGGCGCCATGGCGATACTTCTCCAGTATCTGATCATCTTGATCCTGACCGGTATATCGCTTCATCAGGTCATTCGTCATCGCCTTCGGAACTCCAGCTCGCATCATGACCACACAGTAGCTGCAAAAAATTAGATTCTGATATGCAACCACACGCACTGCGAAGTTCCGATCGTCCACGCAGCGAGTAATGAAGCTACCATATTGACAGCCCCGCGTGATAAGATGCTCGCAGTTTGTTGGTAGCGAGGAAGGTATGACAATATCGTCCTGGTTCTCATGAAATACAACACGTCCGGAATAGCCCAGAATCAATTTCAGAGCCTCTTGGTTTCTGAAAACAGTATCGATGCCTGCTCTCTTTCTGGCTTCGTTCCATTGGGTTTCCGAAATGGGAATGGCGTGAACAAACTTGGCAAGTTGTTTCTTCCATTTAACACTTCCTTTATCTGGCGCTGGACGTTGTGTATGGCCAGCAAGCTGAGGCATGCATTCGACAAAACGAAAACTATCTGTAGAGGCCCCTACATTCTGGGAGGGCTCAAGTGCCAGAGCACCAGGTTCTGGAACGCCGAATAATGGCTGCACAGTGATCAGCTGAGCCTCGAGAAACCTGATATACTCATCGTCATTTCCTGAGAAATTAAACAATCGATGAGACATTGTGGTGTAAAAGACGGATGTATTTTCTTCGTGGCCGGGACCATCTTCCTTAAGAAGAACGTACCCGGGTACTTACTTGATTTGGAAGCACAAACAACCATCCCATGCGTCGCACTCAATCAGACTTACAGTGGGTTCTATGGAGCCAGCCCAGTCCAAACCACCATAGAGACCATTACGAGCTTACGAACATCGAAATATAGGGATTGGTCGCGCATTGTGGCTGCTGCTTGCCGTTAACTTTTACCGTCCCGTATCTAGAGGTTCGCATTCATTGGCCCCGACCATGCTCACATTGCTTTCTCGATGGGGCTTGTGGTCAGCAGTCATTCTCGTTTGGTCTATAACCTTATAGACTATTGATGTCAAATACGAGCTGACCGACAATACCGGGCGGCGATTTTGCTATTTTTCTGGGCCGAGTCAGCCTGGTCGTCGAGCCGCATGTCAACCGACAGTTTGTCATTCTCAACTGCTATCGACTCTCAAGTCTCCACTCATTATTCGCGCCCGAAGTTCTGTCACCATCAAGCAGACATGAAAATTGAGAAAAATTTAGAATTGGCCCCGTGCCTTACAAAGAAAAAACCGTTTTACCAACCTCTATCCGAACAAGGCTGGACCATTTTCTCTAATCTCCTCTTAACAAGCTTCCTGTTCAAACGACACATACAAGGCTCGGAAAGGTAACATTTCACCATAAACCATATGTCATATCAAGTTGAGAATTCTTCAACTGTTTGAATGCATCAACAATTATCTCCTTCTTGCTCTTGAGCATAACAAGCCCTCTTTGGCGGCGCTGAGGGTTCTTTTCGTCGTATGGAGGCGAATCGCGAATTTGCGCTTCCGTGGCCCAACAGTAATCAAGATGTTCGTCTTCCCTTAACTGTATAGGCCCTTCATCCATACCGACCGGCTCCTGCTGTTTGTCGCACCATATTCGTTTGGGCTGGATTGGCTCACAGACATCCATGGGTATTGTGCATCTGGCCATCAGAATTCCCTTATGTGTCCAGCTATCCCTATAGACCTTGCGAGAAACGCACCGGCCGCACAGGTTGACTTCTTCTTTTGTTTCTCGTTTCGCAGCGGTCAAAATCGTTTGGTCGGTTTTCTCACAAGCTCCCCCAGGTGGCTCCCAGGTGAAGGCCCATGAGTTCTATTTGTCGTTGCCGTTATCATCCTTGCCTACTGGAGCCCGTAGACAAAGAAGAAGGCAAAAGGTACGCAGTTGCGGGGAATAGCAGAAAATAAGAGCACTGGCAGAAAATCGGGCAATGTCTGGTTGTTTTGCTTGAATATCGTCCAAGGGGATATCGATCTCTTCCACTGGAACACTAGAAAAGCCCATGATGCTGGGATAGTGAGTAAACTTAGAAAGGAGGTATGCTGCTGCGCTCGCTGCACATTTCGGCGGCGGATACTAGATATTTAAGCTGCTCGGTGTTACGGACATGCTAGTCACCAATCAGTGTGGGGACCCGCAACTACCAGATGGGCCACCAAGAGCCAACCAAACGTATCTGTCAGCAGATGAGATCTACTCGGAGCTCTATCGGCACCGTTCCTCGATACCTCAAAAGGACCTATCCTGCAGTAAGGCATGTTAGGCAACAGTACGGCTGAGAGACCAGATCGTTGACGTTGGATACTGAGGAGTAATAAGGCAAGTATGACTGGATCCTGTCTGACCTAACTTGACTAGGTTGCAGTGCGTAACACTCGGTCATACCAACCCTGCTCGGTCCCACCAACCATCACACTTCTTGTGCATAGTGGTTGGCATTCTCATGCTGATTGGGCTTTATTCGCAGAGGAGACAACTTCATGTACGTTCAGAATCCAGGCAATTGAATTGACCCTGTAAATCTCAGACTACCTGCTAGATATTGTTTTCGATTCAGTCGTTCTAGCGCTTTTTGCCAAAAGTCTTCAAACTCTCTAGGTCCATATCGCCATTGTACAGGGTGCTGTTATTCTTCACTGACCCACCACTGATCATGTGACTCTTTGGTCTATCGGGATGCTTGCCTCTGACGTCGCCGTTGATTACAAGTGAATCTTTATTTATTTCCATCCCAAATAAGCCATGCGTGGTCCGTCCGGAACAAGCACCTATGGGGGAGGGGAAATCATATTAGATTTTTCCTAAGTGAGGGCATCAAGGAGTGAGACAAGATCGCGATACCTGGTCCACTTCTTTGATCCTCGCCTAGAGGAATGAAATCTGAGGAATGGCTCTATAACCAAAGTCAAATGATTAGCTATAAGCCGGTATTTTCTTGATCATAACTCACCTTTTCTTGCAAAGACAGGGCCATATCCTCGGTATGGTGCTGTGAATTGACGGGAGGGCCACCGCTGGTGTGTTCTTCCTTCTTGTTTTGATCCATCTCAAGTAGTGAGAATCAAATGGCCGAAGAAAATGGAAAATGATTGTCGAGTGGATACATTGCAGAGAGTGGATGATGTCGTATTTATACCCTAGGGTCCTCGCTATGAGATTAATCAAACCAGTCTCAAGATGAATGAAAATGGAAGAGTAATCTAACAAGTAGATTGGTCACACTGTGTTTTCGCATCTGCTGCTAGTAGTCACGCGTGCCTTGGTCCCTCGGGATTTGACTCCTCGAATACTTCCAAATTAACTTTGCACATCCCCAGTGTTGATCTATCTGCTAATTTTGCTTCTTTCTGTGCGGAATATATCTCTCACTATCGAAAGGTCATTCAATCCCAAAGGGGTATAGCTTAGAATGCATACCCTACATAGACATCATACCGTCTGCAGAGCCCGAATCAGCGTTATTATATATTTAGTCAGCTAGGGTCAGCCGGCATGTCGGTTGACTTGGCCAGTGACCTGCTACCATGCTATCCCCTCCCTAAACCTGATCCTGCTTATGTCCCCGGACCATAATGATCGGCATGCTCTTGCCTTTCCATGAATGGTGATGTGGCACTCTTCCCGCGAAATTCCGTAAGGGCCTTTCTTGCTCCACTGATCCTTTCGAAATCCTTGTAGTCCAGCCAGCAGATTTCCAGGTCCATGTTGACTTTCCGCTCAACATATAATTCTGTTATATCCAATAAGCTTTCCGCGTATTGAACACTGCACACTTTGATCACATTATTTCTGGCGGGGAACGAAGGTTTAAAAATTTTCAGAACGTCTGCATTTCTGATCGTGTTGAAATCTCCGAATTCCAACCAGCGCAATGTTCTGCACCCATCTTTCTCTAGCTCGACGTGCAAAATTGCGCTGTCCAAACAGGTCTCCTTGAACCTGATTTCCTTTATTTTGATCACTTGCGTGCTCTCTGTTTGGACAAGGCCTAATGTATCAAGATTGGCAGCAAAAGGAGCGATGCTCTTCGCGTCTCTAACATCGACATCGTGGTTCCTCATATGCGCTTTCTGCATTCGACGTAGCGTTAGGTCTTCCATCCAACTGAGAGGCCTTGCCTTCGGTAGGTCTTCATTGTTTGCCTTGCGGGAAAGATGCAGCCCTTTTTCTGGTCCACTCTGTGTCTTGATTAGCTTTGAATATGCAAGAAGTAAAATTCCGTACATTCGAGCATCCTTTGCAGGCATAGAATAGACGTACGAGATAATTGTTCATGTTGGGTTGAGCAAATATTTGTTTGGATACACTAAAAGTACACTGGACCTAGAGACTTATATATCACAATACCGCCCTAATGGAGATTCACCGCATATATGCGGTGAATCTCCATTAGGCCAAAAACTTAGGGGCATGTTCTACAAAGACCATGATTCTGGACTTCAGGGTCTGAGCGGGCCTGGATTCTGAGCAATCAAGTCTGCGGGCTCTCCTATACCCGTTCCGTCACCTTCGGGGTTTATGAGTCAGCGTTACAGTAGGGCTCTGACCAAAAGCCGATCTCCTCACGTATCGATAATGCCAGCTCGCCGTAATCCACCAGTCACTGCGGAAGGTCTGCTTCACGACCTATCCACTCAGATGGAACATTTTCTAGTTGACTTTGAACGTAGGTTTAAACTTCGTGAGAACATCGTCTACGTGTTCGGAAATCTGCGAATTTCAACCAGCGCACTGTTCTGCATTCATGAGCTGCCCTAACTGACAAAATGTGCGACATTAATTTGCTGGAGCATGCTAGCAGACTTGACGTCTGAAGAGGTATTTATATTCATCTATGAAAAACACGCCTCCATATCCGGATCGTGAAAGTAGCTAGCAACAAGGGCCAATGATCCTTTTAAACTGCTCTTTCCCACCTGGCTGCTTCTTCTGCCCACCTAGCTGCTTGTTCGGAATCATTGATCTGGTGTGTTTTCTTGTAACGAAGTGTCCACAAGTGTTCCAGACGGCGATAAACCTCTTTGGGTCCCTCAGTAGCACCCACCCCCATGTGAGAACATACAATGGCCTCATCGAGGTGACTTATCATGTTTGTTTTTTCGTATAGAAGTCCGAGCTTAGTCCCGAGCTCATAGAAGGAATCACGAACCAAATAATAGTCAGGGCCGATGATGTCCATTTTCTTGATTACAATACGAGCTAGGTCGATCGCATTTTCGAGGTCAGGGAGCTGTCCGATACTTTTATATCGGGCTTCTAGATCCTTTGCGAGATCGCGTTGGCAATCTAACCGTAATTCATCTTCATCAACGGTAGGTTCAAGAGCCCGTCGACGTAGTGAAATTGCCTTATCGAGATCCTCTATCTCTGCTAATTCGTCGAATCGGAGCTCTAAACAGAAAGCGAGCTCGATCAAGCGATCGAATAAGGAAATGGGATCTTTAGTGACCTCGACCGCTTGGGAAAGGTACCGAATCCCATTGTCGAGATCGGCGATAGTTCCTCCAGAGCCAAATAGTCTTCCAAGCCTTTCCCCGAGGTTGGACCAGCGACACACAATTTCATCGTCGTTATGATTTGTGGCAATGACTGCAGCATGAGTGAGTTGAACCGCATTAACAATGTCAGGCCAAAATCCCTTCGATTTGAATCGAGTTTCGAACAGTCCCGCCAGAAAATCAAGGCGCGTTGTGTAGTCGGGATGGTCAGAAGCAGTCATCTTAGTCGCAAGCCGAGAATACTCGATCGCCAAGTTGAGATCCTCGATATCTTGTGTTTCCTCGTATCGTTCATCCAGCTGCTTCCCAAGGTTCTCGAGGAGCGTGGGATTCGTCTGAAGCGCTAGGATATTACTCCGAGTTGCTTCATCAGTATCACGCTCTGCCGGACCTGTAGGTTGATCTTGAGAGCTTCCGAGGGCATCTAAGTGTGCGGAAATCCGATCACTGCTCATTTTGCGATGTGGACTTTCGTCTGGGTATTATACTAGGTAAGCTGATGGACGGGAATGATCAAAGAAGACACTTACAGTGACAAGTCAAAAGGCCTAATGTGAGACTCACAACAAGTGAACAGCGAGAAAACAGAGTAGGTTTGAACGTTTGAACGGGCTCTGAAGGAAGCTTGGACCGGAGACGGAGTTTGTGAGCAACAATGCTGGAGGATTCTTGGGTATATTGAGAAAAGGGTGAGCTATCTATCACCTTTATAGTCCACCCCCATCCAAAAAAGGCTAGTTGCGAGATAAAAGGTACGAAGCAGGCATAAATGTGAAATTACTCTAATTAAATGGGCCCATTACGCAAACTTTGGATCATTGGCTCAATCAACTGATATGACGGGTGGTCTCGACGGGCCGATTCAGGCTCCGTAGACGGCGTAATGTCTCTGTAAAGTGCGCATTCTGAGCTATACCGCTTTAAGATTATATGACCTTTAGACAATGGTAAGCATGACTATGTGTGAGCTCATATATAGCAACTGTAATTTAACTGCACAGAGGTCCCTAATAAAGCTTTCTGTACAGTCTTCTCATAAGACAGGAACTTTTAATTCCATTCTAACCGATCCTTTCACAAAAAGGATTTCGTTTCGCCGCAGCTTCCGCATAAACGGTCGGGTCTCCCGTATTTCCTTTTTCGGTAAATCCCCGGGGGGGAAGAATGTCTATATATGTAGGGCGTGCATTTAAACCTATACCGTTTAGTATTATATGACTTTTCGGTGATCTTAACCCTATTCGACTGTCCATGGTCTCGCTGGCTAGATAGACCATGGGTTTGGGTCCAATCTGCGAGATTTTCGTTTGCTTCTAGGATGGGTTCTCTTACGAGACACCATTATATCGCAAAGTGGAGTAACAATAATTTCTATGAGTTGTATGAACCTAAACAACAGGTAGAACCCTATCACAAATTCCTATCACGACTTAGAATCAAATATTCATCTCTTTCAATACTGTATTTCCCTTTAATATAGCGCCACTCATCTGCTCCCACGAGACTCTTTGCAGCCCCAAGCTTGTAATGAAGATTGAGCAGGTGGGGCTTGGACGACGCTTTTCCACTAACGTAGTGACAGCTATAAACATAGCCTTTTGAGTTGTTATTATATCTGACATAGAACTTCATACAGACAGAGTGTGGGGTCCAGACTACACATTCGTATCTCTCGAAATCAGCAATTTCCCCGAGAAGTTGAGCGCTTAAGACTGGTCCCTGCAGCTGTGTCATCAGTTATATCTATATTGTTAGCATTTCTAGAATTCCCCTCTAAGTTACCTGGCCTTTACTTACAAGGCTCTATACGATTGTAATAACCAACTTCTACCGACATACGCCGGATTGGCCTTGTGGGCAACCTTTCGAGGGTGCGAGGGGGAATCAGAGTAGAGAAGGGGTCTAGAAGAATAATGACGGTATCACTAATAGAAGATCGAGCCGATTAGGTAGGAGTAGGATAAATAGTATCTAAATAAACGCGCTTAGTATATACGGAGGAGCACACTAGTGAGATGCATTTTGGGAAGTGGATGCTACCGTGAAATTGTGGCTGCTGGTATCCAGTATTGGGGTTTATAGCTTCTTCTGTGTTTCTGTCTTCTGTGATCTGCTCTTCTTGGGTTGCCCCGGTGGACGGCGAATCGTCTTGAATGAAGAAAATCCAGCTAGGAAGCAGTCTTCGCATCAATGAAGTTAGAATACAATTCATAAGGGTTCCTTATCAAGCTAATAGCTATTCTGGTGAGATGGGTATAGAAAGGTTGGCTAGCAGGGCAGCGTCAATGGGTTATTATACTAGCCGATTGATATTTTTTTTATTAAAATCCCAACGCGTCTTCAATTTTTCTCTTTAGGCTAGAAGGAGGGGATGATAGGTAACTCCATATGAACAAGTTGTATTTTTCGTTAAAACACCAGCGGGCCACCACTCGGGTTGCTCGCTTCTCGATCTCTTTTAGTGCTAAAAGCGGATGCCGCCAGTGTCTTCGACGAATAAGAACTTTTGGTTCGTTTTCCTGGCTTGATGATATAGATCAAATGAAAAAGTAAACAGCGAATGAGATGTATCAAACAAACAATTACTAATCTAATAAGCCATTCGTAGTGGATAAGCTCTACGTTACTATGCTCTACAATTTTACAGCCTTTGTACTTTGTATTGATACATCAGGCTACTATGCCCTTAAACTTTGCGGACTTCACCAACCCGTTCAATGGTCTTCTTATTCTTGTGTTATCTAGTTCCTTCTATCTTTCACCGTGCTCGTTAATATCACCAGCCACTTGTCCAGTCGTGGGCTACTTGTATGGGCAAATCAGCACTCATTAACAACTCTTTATTCTCGCCGAGGTAACAAAGTAAACAGATAGATTCATTCTAACAAAGACAAATCCCCTTATAACATGCTCGTAGTATTATATTTTTGGCTCCTCGCAATACGGACCAGATAAAAAATACTTCTGACGAATCCACAAGACTTTTGACATCACCCTGATAGATATATAAAGTGGCCTTGAAGTACACCACATGCGCCTTAGTATAAAAATCGAAGAACTTGGGTGACATTTCTGACCATATCCAAAGATAATCGCTTATATGAAACTTGCAGTAGCACCAGGTCATGCCCATGGGAATCCTTTTCTCCGTTGAAGGCAACAGTCATCAGTTTCACCGGGGATTCCCCGTCCCATAAAGCGCTTGACCCTTTGAAATAACTCTTAGGATCAATTTCATAACCAACCAGCATAGAAGCTTGGACAAACTTTCCTATGTCGCTCTGGAAAAAATCCTTGTTGTGGATGTGGTTGCACAATTCCATTGATATCTCGTCCCATGATAAGTCTTTTCTCGAACGTGACTTATCAACGGCTCTAACTGCGGATTCGATTTTGCGTATCGTAGAAATACCGTTTGGCCCATATATCGCATTGACCAGAGATACCGGTAGAATTATTGGGGGCTCATGCTGGTTGCGTTTGATGACATCTACTTCGTATTAGTGACAAATTCCAACGTCTATTTGGGTTGCACGTACACGCTTGGCCTAGCTCGATCCCAAATGCCATCGTTTGGGTCACTTGGCTGAGTCTAACTTCTTGAGCAATATTGAACAGGATTTTGTAATTGATTTATACATTCCATGGGAAAGAAATATCCTCGACCGCTTTTAGTTGAAAAAACAAATCATGAAATTGATTCATAGTTCAAATGAAGCGGCCGAAGATCGTCAGGGTTTCACACTTCGGTGTCTACCATCCCTAAAATGCAGCTTCTCAAATTACAGTTGACGGAATATGTGGCTTGGATTTTCTAATTTATTAGTTTTGTTTAGAATCCTGGACAGATAAGAATCATACTCATATGATTTCCTTACATGGGAGTTATCACATGACTTCGCCCCTTGATGGATGCGGGGTGTGTACTGGTTTGATATTGCGCACCAAGGAGACTTCAACGTGGTCCCCGTTAGATACAAATCTCGTCTTTCGAATTAAGCAGGAAAAGGCTAAGTTCTACGTTACTATGCCCTACAGCTTTTAGTAGTACGAATAAGCCTTGGTTCAAACATTAACGCTCGATACTTGAATGCCTCAGTTATCTGTTCTTGTAGCCATTGCATTTACCACACTGGCGTATCTCCTGATCTCGCGGTTTCTTCCCCTTACAGGGGTTTTCGAAACAGGGAAGCTGGCCCGCTTTCTCTCTCCGACCCCCACAGCATAGGTAGACATAATGTATAACGTCACACATTATGCAGAATCTAAAAGAGCTTTTCAAATCAACAAATAATTCCAGATAGTATATGCGGTCCAGACTCACGGTTTGCTGTTTAATATGAGCAGTAGATTATTGGGGACTTCGCAGGGCGTTTGCCTTCTTGAAAATGACTTTCAAATTAGTATAAACTCGTGGGAAACAATTGGCTGGCCAATCACGATCTGGTATAGTGGAATTGGGCAACAGATTGGAAAAGCGTATTGTCTTCAATGTGTGTAGGATTCCACGATGGTGAGGTATTCAAGAGGGTAAAAGCTTTAATGCCAAATACAAGGGAGAAGAGGACATACATTTGCTTGCGTACGAGCTTCTGAAATATAACTTAAGATAAAGTGGCTCTAGGTGTGCTGCGCGGTTGGAAGAGTACGCTAACATGGGCTTGATGGGTTTATATCCTTCCCTTTCCTGTGATTCAATCAACGCCCTCCGAGGATATTCCTGTATCGAGAAACGTCCAGGGAGGATGATTAGAAGATGGTGGATATGGCACTCTGTCGCAAGTTGTAACAGACGTCTGGCTCTCCATTTTCCTGCATAGAAGGAAATTCAAAAGTTCTTTTGCGAGGAGCATGGTTGCTGCTTATTTCTGATTTGCTATTAAAGGTGTCTTGGCGCGTGGGTGGGCTCTTGATACCAACTATTGTGATATTAGTCTAAAATCATTGATCCCGAGTTTTGGGTTTAACCAAAGATATTGGGAAAGCCCCCAAAATTGTAAATTCGTTAGCAGTGGCGTCACATTCTAGCTGGACCTGTGGTGTGATGATGGGCCTTGTACGGAAGGACGCACATCGTGGTGAAAGGTGCCTGGCCTAATGGAGATTCACCGCATATATGCGGTGAATCTCCATTAGGCAGAAAAAAATAACGTAAGCATACCTCACAACCTTGGAACCAAATTCCGGATAATGAATGCAAGGAAAAATGTTTTTGTAAAATACTAACTTGGTAGATGCCGTGTGTTGGTAGAGAAAAAAAAAACTATGAAGCATGTTTAGGATCAGGACGGATGCCTGACATCTAAATAGGATCTCTACTGTGATCTCACGATGGGCACCGAAGGTCACGGGACCCGTCAAAATGCCCCTCTCACCCCGCGGTCATCAAGTGACGGCAATTACTCTTTTATCCATACCTCGGTCGCTCCAAACTTCTTCCGCTTGAAAAAAGAGGTACACTTTTTTTATCTGCATACTCTATTGCGTTATTTGACAATACTCGCTCATATCGCGTACTAACGTGGCTTAGTATGACAGACTCGTCTCTTGGCGAAGACGCAAAGAGCCTGCTAGATGCTCTTGCGCTAGCACTTTCTGACATCAATTTCAAAGACGATGGGAAGGGAAATCTGGAGTATGAGCACAAAGAGGTCTCACCTTTCGTTAAGCCTCTTCTCAGAACAGTTGGCCTTCCAGTATGGTTGCAAGTTTCTATGGACGGCGACATACTAATTTTACTGTTAGAATTGGAACTTTACAGTATGGATGTGGCACACATCTTTCAAATGGGACAGGTTACCCGGCCCCGTCAACATCATACCTATCTGTAACATATCGGATTCGGCGAGAAGCGAACCGGGAGGTGCTTTTAAGCATGGTCTGATGAGACGAATCGATGGGAATGTTACCGTTGAGCCTAGGCTCGCGGCTATCTTTGCCGTTCCCCCTATCACAAGGTACGTAGGAAAACCGTTCAGTGCTTGGCCGTCGCTAACAAATTCCTAAGCTGATCGCATACGGAAAAATTAATGAGTTGATCACTCAACTGCTAGCTCTGGCCTTACTTTTGCTTCTTGCATATAGCCTCCACAACTGGTTTCATTCTCGTTGGTCTACCTGTCGACTTGTATGCTTCTTCTGTTTCTTTCCCTCCTTCCTCGGATCACGAAAATACTTGGTTGAAGGGGTCAAAATTCACCACCGGGTCGTTATGTGCATATGTGAATGGATTGAAATTCACGACAGGTTCGCTGTCTGCATGTATGAAAGGATTGAAGTGCAAGGGTGCATTATTGAAGTAGTTTTCGTATATCGGAGAAACGAGCAGGATGCTATAACCCAAACTGTTGCAGATATCCACTAGCCTGTATCAATAAGCACATTTTCACCAATATTCATGAGGTCAATATACTTTAAATCGTTACCGGCGATCGCTTTAACGAAACAAGGAAGGCAGTACGGACTGAGTTCATTCTCAGCGAAAGGAAGTGCTGAATCGGGTGTCCCCATATCTTCCACGAAGGTTTCGAAACTGTTTTTTGTGTATGCAAATCTTCCGTATTGTTGGAGAGACCGGGGAACTTGAGGTGATCAGTATCAAGAAGTTATTCTGGATGGGAATACTTACATAAGAGGAAAGTTTCCCAACTTGAAAACCCCCAGTCCCGGTCCAACAACTTAGACATGCAACGATTTACCCATTTACATCCATATCGAAGTCTCCGGAGACTGGATGAGCTTATATCACTGATATATCGGCGCATCATCCAGTCCACACTATCAATGGGAGTTCCAATATCAAGCATGACAACACACAAGGACACAAATATGAGCTGTTGGTATTTAAAGATGTGAAGGAGAAGCTTTCCTTGCAGTTTTCTATCCATTGTCAACGCACCATAGTCGCACCCTCGCATAACCAAGGCGCTGTGTTCTGAGGGGTCTTCATTTGGGTATAAATTTGACTCATCGCGTAGGTTTGAGGTTAACGGTCGACCACACAGCGCGTCAATGATATCTCGATTGACTTCTGGGCGAGATAATCCAAGCTCTTTCTTCTTCTTGATCCAACGAGCATTCTTCGTAACGTCCTCAATGAAATTTCTGAGCTCCTTCATGCCTTGGACTTCAACGACCGATGTTTGCTTAAAGGATGGCAACTTGGAGAGAGCATTGCCGGGAAGATCGCTGTCGCGGTTTTGAATCGGGTCATAGTATAGAATTTTGAGATCACCTCTAGTAGACAAAGGAGGTCGTCCGGTCGAATGAGGACTGGTTGGACAAGAAGCCCGAAACTCTGAACATCCATTTGGATAGTCACTGAGCCGAGAGTCCGTTGTACTAAGCTGAGAGTCTGCTGTTGATGTTGATGTTGATGCTATAGCTGAAGTACCGTGCGGAGAGTCCGCTAATGAAGTCATAGAAGTACTCGGCTGAGGATCCGATGATATGGTCACAGAAGCATCGCATAACGAAGTCGCAGAGCCAATAAAAGCCTGGCAAGTTCCTTGGGTTAATGCAGCTGAAAGCCGACTCTCAAGGAAGGCTATGTAATCATTGTCGTTGCCTTCGAATTGGAATACACGGTTGCTTTTAGACATAGTCGTTGTAGAGTCCAAAGAGATGGATAGAAATTTTGATAGTTCCCAATGCGGCACCTAGTATATATGCATGTTGAACTTTCATGGCATAAAGCGGGGTAGCCCATAAATGTGACAAATAATGCAATAAGCTGCATAGTCACACGAGTCATCCCAAGTGCTTACTCCAGCCGACGATCATGTCCGATCGGGGGCGAGATAATATTACTGCACGGCCTATCGGTGTAATCCATCTGCCTTACCTTGCCTTGCCTAATGGGGGTTTTGCGCATAAATGCGCAAAACCCCCATTAGGCAACTTGCACAGCCCACGTAAGGTAAGGGTCAATGTTGATAAAAATACAGGAAAAGGAACATGCAAATTTAGACTCTACCACTTTAGTTTTTATCTAAATTCCAGTCACACGCAAAATAAGCGCGATAAACAAATATAGATTGTTGTTTAGGTACTGTCAGGTAACAGTCTAAGGCATAGCGACGACGAAACAATGTGAAAAAAGAATAACTTATATGTACCTATAAGAGCAAGACGGGCAAGTCTTTGACACTGATGCATCGGGGTGCAAGTTGTCTACCACGGTAGACAACTTATGATGATCCTCCTGCATTTCCCCGCGTTCGCTCATACGGAGCACATATTATATTAAATACGCTCATAAACGCCAGTTTTAGTGGAAGACATAACTAGACATACATTGCTCTAGCCCAAAAGAATGTACATACCATTTACAAATTGCTAGCAAATGCAAACTCTATCACCTCACATTGTCCGTTTGTATGAGTGAAACAGACAAGCTGGTCGACAAGATAATTTCATTGCACAGCCTACATGAGGTGCTTAGAATATGTGTCTATCAGACACTAGTCGTATGTCGTATTATGTTTTGTGCATTAGCGCAGCGCCAAAATTATGTGGGATCCAATCTCTAGGGAAATCGTGGCAAAGGGCCCAGCACCAAGTAACTCGAGACAAAAACAACGCCATGGCTATCACTATCAAGATACGAAGCACTTCACGAGAATAGGGGCTGTCGGGCATGTCTGAACTACCGCCATATCGCTATTTTCCTAGGCCCTACCTTATTTAAGACGCCAAACCGACACACATTTTATCACTTAAATCAATCCCAGTTTCCTCTACTCATATCCTTGCTATTTTTCATTGGCATAGCTTTGCTACCACATTATCCTTAAACAAAATGTCGGATATCGATCCCAACGCACGAAAGGAAGTCAACAACGCGCTCATTAGCTCGGGCAGCACTGCCGTCGGGCAGATGGTTGACACCGGCAACTCCTCTGTTCAGAAGCGTCAAAGGAACAAAGAGGAGAAAGAGAAACGCGAGGCCGCTGCGAGAGCTGCTAAGCAGGAGGCCGATGCTGCTGTTAGTCCACGAACCCTTTATCTCAACACTCAAGAAGTTGAAATTCCCAATCCTGTCATGTACTGACGTTTATCAATTAATAGAAAGCCGGCGCCTCTAGCTAGAGAGCTGTCTATCGTTGCACCCACGGCCTTCCTCCCTATCAGTCATTACTGTCGTTACCGATTACACATTTTCACTCATGGCTTGGAGACTTCTGATCCACCGGTGCAGGGGGTATTGCTACGGTGACTCTTTGTTCCATTTGAGTTTTATTTTTGGTATTTCAACAATACTATTAGTCATGGATTTTACCCCCTAGTAATTGCTACATATATTCTCCGTCTTGAATGAGTTAGATCCCTATATAAATAGGTGTTAGGAACAGCTTGTTTGATTTATCTTAAGGATGGAGAGCTAAGCCATTAATCATATATGTTGTGTATACTTTCTAATTGTACTCGCCTGAAACAAAGTTTGAAGCTTCGTAGTTCCGATCCGCTTTTGGTGCTTGATTCGAGTGCCCCGAATGGCTGCAGGACGGACCCCAATGGTCTTGGCAAAAGTTTATTTCTTTTCATGTGGTTGATCCAATCTGAAAAAATAATCGGTGATCGTCCTTTGTAGCCAGCCCCGATAAAAGCAAGCTGCGCCAAGAACATATTGCGGTGACGCCTAAGGCATTTAAAGACCGACCATAAAAACGTGGCATAGCCCCCTCGTCCATCTCGCTCGTCTCTCGACCAGCTCTCTCACCGAAATCGGATTCTACCACGCACTCATCCCCATCATTAAAGCCTACCTTCACGTTATGGACACCAACGCCCTTCTCGATCTCGTCCACGTGGCGCAGGGCCAGCTCTGGGTTGACAAGGTGAATGAAGCCCACCTAACAGGCCGTCTTTGCCAGTGGGTGTCGACTTTCCATCCAGATAAACTTCCTTGTGTGCTTGATGGTACCTTTCACCATGGCGCATTTAATGCCGGCATGAAGATGGTCTTCACTGACAGCACGGCCTGGATGGTTCGTTTCCCTCGTTTTGGGATGGTCTGTGAAAACTACACCGATGAGAAGGTTGCTATGGAGGTGTCGGCTCTAAATCTCATTCGCAACGCGAGTTCTATTCCCGTCCCAACAGTCCGGGCTTGGGGTCCGGCTGCCAGCAACAGACTTGGTCTAGGCCCTTTCATCATGATGGACTTTATAAACGGTGTGAGCCTTAGCAGCCTTCTCCAGGACCCCAATGCCGAGCGACCTAGCCGAGTCATGAGGGACGATATCAGTGATAGTGATATTGAGGTTATCTACAGACAGTTGGCAAACTTCCTACTTCAACTTTTCAAACTGGATTTCGACCAGATCGGCAGCCTACCATCGCCACAGACTGGAAGCCACAGCCCTACGCCACCGCGACCGTTGACATTCAAGGCACAGACTATCCTACAAGACGGAGGAGTCGATACTTTCGGTACGTATTTTTATCCCCCTTTTCCCTTCTTATCCCTATAGCTCTTACATAGTGCCATGGCTAAGCAACTGATATTTAGGCGACCGAGCCAAAGGGTTTGCTACGACAACCGAGTATTTTCAATATGTCGTCGGACAGGATTGGAAGCAGCTCGTTCATCAACCAAACTCAACTGTTGGTTTCTATGATGCTCAGAACAAATATGTCGCGTTCAAAGTTCTAGGAAGTCTGATACCTGAATTTATCAACGCAAAGTATGACCGTTGCAAGTTTAAACTAATCTGCGACGACCTCGGCTTGGCAAATCTGATTGTCCGTAGCACGGAAGATCTCACTGTCGTTGGATTAGTGGACCTTGAGTGGTCATATATCGGACCTGCCCAATTGTTTGGCTCGGCACCGTGGTGGCTTCTCCAAGACAGGCCCGTCAACAGCACGTGGGATTGCGAGAGCGAAGAGCTGCCCAAGATCGGGTCCCGGTACTTCAGATACTTAGAGATCTATATACGTATCTTGGAGGAGGAAGAGTCAAAAATGCAAGGGCATGAAGAGAGAGAACTCTCTAGTCTCGTCAAGTGGTCGCAAGCCTCCGGGGCTATGTGGTTGCATATGCTTCTCTTATCTGGTTTTAACGACCAATATAGCTTTCCATTTACGCAGTTACGTGCACATCTGGGGGCTACTGAGTGGGCAAGGCGTGGGATGGAATTTGACAATCCAAAAGAGCTTGAGGAATTCGCAGCGCAGAAGGTGAAGGAGATGGATATGTATGAAGAAGCCTTGGAGGAGGTAGAAAAGAGCAAGGCGCTTGTGGATACTGGAGATATGACAAAGGATATGTTCATTCAGCGTCACTCATGAACACTAGCTTTGATACTTCGACGCGTGGTATAGGATTAACGTTAGAGATTCTAAATCGATATTCTGCGAGAACATCTAGAGTTCACACCTTAAATAGTTCTGAATGGCAACAGCTTCACGGGCATCTGTTATAGAAGATCGTGCAACTATTAACGGTCTTGATTTCAACAAAGGACTGCTAAGTGAGAGGGCCCAACAAACTGAAAAGCTCGATGAAATCAATGCAGCGATTTATTGTTGCTGGCTTACGCTTCGGGGAACAGCTCATGATAATTCCAACTATGCAGCGCGGCAGTGGATGCAGCCATTGTCAACATCCCTCTCCATCATCTGAAAGAACTGTTTCCCGGCATTCAACGCTTCATAGCTATGGCTGTCAAATTTTCCTACCACCCCGATAGCTCACCTAAGCTAAGAGTTTTATTGATCTTGCGAAATAGGAAAGCTCATAGGGTAATACCTGGGAACCAGGAGGAGGAACTCCAGACGAAGAGAAGGACCCGACCATCATCCATTCCGCAGCCCGAGAAAGCGGAGGGGAGACGCAAATTTGGCCTTCGAGAATTGCTGGTAATGCTTTTACGAGTTCTTTCTATCATAGGGATAGAAAAACCGGCGATTGGCTGTTTCTGTTGAGGCAATGTAGGTAAAGTGCAAAAGTGGGCATAAAAAATTGATACAGATCGAAGCCCTGATTTATTTACGCGGATGCGGGCAGGAAATTCTCCATACGTTATCATGCATAATTGAATTACTAATCCAATAATTAAGAACACGTTTCACGTCGCACGAAGACGTTTTGGATCTCCTGTCTCTGGCTGACATAGCTGTCGTTTTACCGCTCGTGATTGCTGCAAAGTCGGTCGATATTTCAATGTGGAACGGTGAAAATCGATGATCAATGCTCGGCCAAGTTCTTCATTCCAAAGGACATTGTCACGCCGTAGATCTTCGTGAATGATTCCCAAGGCTTTGATTTCCTTGTTTGATCTACGAATTTCACGGTGAAGCCAAGGCGCCAGCTCCATCGATGCTGTACTTTCTCCCCCCAGCCCATCAAGAGCATATGACGAATCTCTCCAGCTCCATGAAGAAAGTAAATTTTCGCCAAGTCGATCGTACCCAGGAAAATAGGCACAGCAGACCCTTGGGCCTTGCGCAGGATTTGGTATACCTGCGCTTCGCGGGAGACTTCTTTCCAAAGCCCCGACGTAGTTCCTTTTCCGACGACAGTGTAGCCATATACGACACAAGTAAGTTTGAACGGCGCACCGTACGCCCCGCAACCTCCAAGGGGTGTGCATCGGTCAATGTTTTCGTCCAATTGTCCTTTTAGTAAACGCACCAAATCCTCTGAGGTAATTGGATGTTGGAGATCGTCTTTGCTTCGACGATGGAGCACCACATTTGGACAGCAGTCGTCTAGAACACCGCCAGACTGCAATCCGAGTAAACATCGCTGCGTGCAAAATTGCGCATTGCGATATGGCGCCTGTTTGCCTTGGTTATCCCCGGGTCCCGTTGACGACCTGCTCGTTGGGCAGATGGGGAGGATGTAACTTGGCTAATGCCCCTTTTGCGGCCTATTGCTTGGTTCGAATCGGAGCCTGATGAGTCTGGAGATTGCGAGCGATGCTGTACACCCGACGGTGCACATCTGGCCTGGGACCTTGTAGGCAATCGGCGAGCTGCTGTCGTTGGGGAATCCGGCGGAGATGACGGAGGCTCATAAGCCGAACCGGATTCCGGACTCGTGTAATCCAGGACTGTGCTATCGGAGTGGGCAAGGGTCTGCTGCAGTTCTACTTTGGGAATCTGAGAACGAGTGTGGTCAAAGCCGGTCGTCCAAAGAGGAAGCTCTGGTCGTGTGGAATTTCGCCATTCCTGGCCACGCGTAGGTGAGCGAAAGGCCATCAAACACAGACATAGGGTTCTTGCAATAGAAGTCTTCGGTTGTTGGAAACTATCTTCAGCATCTCCATCTACCTCGCTATTAGGATCACATAAGAAGTAATAAAGCGTGCTAGGATCATCATATGGAACACGGAGGAAGACACGAGCAATCCCGTTGGTGACGTAGGAGTACTCGAGCCCTTCCTGAATCATCACATGGTATTCCTGGACAATAGCGGAGCAGACGAGGCGCTCTGCATTATACCTCAACTTCGCTTCCTTATTCGTAGGTATTTTATTCGATTTGACCATATCCTTCCATAAGTCCATTGATCGAAGCCCTATCCGAAGGGTTGCGACGGGAAGCTTATGAGGCGGCTTATACTCGACAGTCGTGAGGAGAGTTGCAGTGTTGCCGTCGACACGATGGATGCAGAACTGATCAGGTCTTGGGTTGGGTACACTTGACGGTTGGCTTGCATCCGCTTCAGTGGTATCGTTATCGTTCAGGGAATTAGTATGGTTGCTGAACTGGATGCCATCCCCAAGGCAGAGCTCATCGCGGGCAGCGGGGAGTTTGCACAACTCAGTAACTATGTCGTGGACATGTTCTTCCACGGCAAATCGCTCATAGGCTTCGAGTTCTTGCTCACAGCTTATAGGCTTACGACAAAGTCGTCGGCCTAACCCTTGTAACTCATGTAAGGATGAGAACGAATGTGGCGCCCCCCTGGTGTCAATTGAAGGTAGCTGTAGACGGACCTGTAGAGCTCCGACATTTGTTCTGGGCAATCGGCCCAGTGTTCCAACCGTGTTGGGCAATATTTCCCGGTAGGAAGGGGTATTTTCCCTGTGGTCGAACGAGATGGTGTGTCGGCTCTCAACGGTCGAGAGAGCAGGTTATGGGAATGGCATAAGAACTCCACGAAATTGGTCGGTCGGGTGCGCGCTTCAGCTTGTTCACGTTTCTCTTTCTCCTGTCTGCCCTCATCTTCTGCCTGCTTCCGCCTCTCCTGTTCCTGTACATAAAGAGATTTGTAATCTGGAGAGCTGTTGGCGGCCATCGACTTGGTTAGAAAAGGGAAGCAATGGCTGGAGACAATCGCGGCATGTCCCGACCGGCGGACGACCCAGCAGGCTTATGTCAGCTGACCACGGCCTACGGTAACTAACTAGAGGTATTTTCCCGGGAAATGATGTATGTCTACTCAATATAGTGCAAGAAATCACGGCAGCTTTCGGCTAAACTAATATCCGAATCGTCCTCATAGCTCAAATAAGGGTACTGTAGCCAGTCGCTCCTAGAGTAGCAGGATGTGTAGGATGTTTCCTGAGTATGTATCATTGGTTAGGCAACAGTCTCTCTATAATATTCTAATATCCCAGGTCCGCTGCAAGAATTATTCACCCTGCCCACCCACTGTTACAGTACATCCCGTAACTGGTGTCACCACCTGCACTCTTCGATTCTTTCTCGAACCCTAATTGCCAAGACACGCTAGTCTATATTAATAGTTTTTCCGGAGCATCCCTGTCAGTGTGGCTTGTATCGTTTCGTACACAAGATACCCAGGGCACATGGCGGGGTATATTCACTTGTACTTTCGATACTGCTTGTACCTTGATACCCCACTCCGAATGTCGTCCCTTGGTACGCTCAGATATTTAATCAACCTCGAGTGGTCACACCAGGAGAGCGCCTAACCTAGCCCCTTTAAAGCACGAGCTTCTTCACCTGCACCGTCCTGCCCAGCACCAGCACCACTCTCAGCGTGCTGTTGCTGCTGCTACTCAAGAATATCAATATTGAGTCAACGCAACTCCTCCAGTTTCTCCGTCCGCACGCGGTGGTACAGTCATTAGCGAAATCAGCTTCCGCCCCCAAGCATAGCTTTCTTATTTTCGGGCCCCACTGCCAAGGCGTTAGTGTAGGAAATTATTTGACAGGCTCCTACGCAGTCCCATAGGGGCCAGGGGTCAAAACCCAGTTTTAGGGGGTTTGATGCCTTAATGCCTTCTTTTAGAACGGCAGAAAAATTAGGATACCTGAATTAGTTACTATTACAATTCCTAAATAATCAAAGTACCCCGATTCAGCTAGCGTTCTGAAAGTCCAAAAATGAAGCCTTTGGGCACCATACAAATTAATGCATCTCCATATTCCTGGGTGGTTTACAAGTCCACAAAAATGAAGATGCATTAATTTGTATGGTGCCCAAAGGCTTCATTTGAATCAATTGACGTATGCATGGTTTACAGTACACTGTATAGAGCGGTGTAGAAAGCGGTGCTAAAACAAGGCATTAAGGCACCAACACCCCCCTTAAACTGGGTTTTGACGCCTGGCCCCTATGGGACTGCGTAGGCCCCAATATACCGCCAACAGCTTCAATTACTGTATAATATTTTACAGTATCGTTACATTTGTGATTTTACTCAAGATGTCGTACAGTCCACAATGATTAACTACTAAATAAAATGCATACGTAAACCATCTATCTAAGTGACACATTCAACAAATCATAATATTCTATTGATCATGATACAGTCATTAGCGAGATTAGCTTCCGCCTTAAGCATTGTTTTTCTATTTTTCAGGTGCCACTGCTAAGATGCTTGTGCAACAATTTATTTGATAGGAATCAGTATGGACTGCTTCAGAGATACATAACCGAAATTTAAGTCTTTTTATATAGGACCAATTGACTGTAGCCTCCTCTGAACAGCCTCATCAGAACGTTTGATTTCCTGTTCTCTTCGAAATTTTATGCTGAGGTGTCTTTCTGATCCATTTCCCAGCTTTGTTCGTACGGCTTCGTCGATCATCGTGATTTCGTCTCATGATCTTCTTGATTAGGTAACTTCTGGGTTGCAGTAGTTTGATGATAGTGTCCCCTTCCGGGTTCGTTAAGGCCGCTCTTAAAACGCTTTGCGTGATCCTGGTCCCCCTGATTCCAACTTCCTTTTGATCTAGTAGGTACTTTATCATGTTGACACCACCCCACCAGTTCGCCGCAGCTGATTCCATGACCCTACTCGAGATCATAACATCCTTTCCTCCTCGGTCGATAAGGAGTTTCAAGATTTCGATTCCATTTCTCTCATTTGCTGCGGCCTTTTGGATAACACCATCAGTGATTTTCGCTTCTTCACCTCGTCGATTGAGAAGAAGTTTCGTGATTTCGAATTCGCTTCTCTCGTTCCCTGCAGCTTTTTTCATGACATCTTCAGTGATTTTGATTTCATCTCCCCTCTGGTCAAGAAGACAACTCATGATCGTCATTCCATTCTCTTCATTAGCTGCGGCTTCTTGCACAACATCATCCGTGATCTTCAACTTTGGATCTTTCCAAATCAACTCTGCAACATCTTTCAATCCCCACCTCACCGCCCAGAAAGCTGGAAGTGGCTTATTAGTAGCAACCCGATACCGATGCTGAAATTGTGGTTCTACGAAGCAGAACCATAAAGATATCTGTTTTTCTTCGCAGAGGTTAGCCGCTAGTTGGAGAATCTCAACTGCTAAGCTTTCCGCCTCTCTCATATGTTCAGTCCAATAGGTTGCGGAATAACTCAACAATAGATTGCTTTCCATGCGGGCTTGGTTGTCACCAGGTAGCTGAAGATTGTCCCTTTGAAGATTGTCTAGGTATAGGTAGGTCACGCATACTTTCGATAGCATTTGATGGGCCTTTTGGAGATTCAAACATTGCCTCCATTCTGTGCGCTCTAGCTGTGTATTCTCTTTTGCGATGAGAAACTCCCTTGCCGTCTGATGAATAAGGTAGATTCTAGAATTGTTGATGAAGATAAATAGGCCGCATAGGAGTCGTAGCTTCCAGCCCATGTTATCTGGGTTTATTTCGGCCTGTGCTGCTGTTCCCGATTCTCGGCAACGAGCCATACCCAACGCCATGGCCATTTCCCGTGTTGTCAAAGGACGCCTTGCCGCGATGATAATCTGGAAGATATTTCTCACGGTATTCACTTGGTCACACGGGACTCGGCGGAGAATTTTTTTATATGCCGTATTCACAGAGGCCGGGATCAGTCGGATCGATTCTTGATCAGGCAATAGGCTACATTTGAAGGTATCTTCAATGTCATCCATGGCCAAATCTAACCAAAGATAAGTGTGGTGTTCTATTTGAAGTAGATGCTGCTCAAGTCGCTGTTGTGTATTGGATGATAATCGTGCTGTTTTAGCCAATTGTCCCACTCTGATCTTCACCACTAGATCTATCTCCTTGTGGATTTGATCATTTTCTTCCTCCCCTTTTAGATGTAGATGTGGGAAAGACTCTGTGATATCTCGGAAGCGATTCTGGATGTGGTTATAGGGGCGACTAGTGACTAGGAATTTCAAACAGGTATCTTGTGTTGAACATGACTGAGAGTGAAATTCCTTAAGCTTCTGAATCAGCCAACGTTGATCGCGGTCACAGCATTCGTCAAGCGCATCGAAAATGCAAAAGGTTGTGCAAGATGCTTCGGCTGATGTTGCTGTTATAAATATCCGCCAAAGTTCATCGGCATCTTTCTGAAGTCCTTCCTCCTTCGTCTCGTAGGAGGGCAATGCATAGCAAAGAAGGTGAGGCCGGTGGATGAACAACTGATGAAGTATTGCACAAAGAGCGTCAGTAATTTTGTTCTGCTGGTCGTTATTGTCCTTGAAAAAAAGTAACACATAGTCACCGCTGGACTAGAAGCTAGCAAGCAGTTATCGATGATTGATTTGGCTAATACGGACTTCCCGCAACCTGGATCGGCAGATAACCAAATAAGATCATTGTAGCAGCTTTTCTGCCAACGAATATATTCAGTACTCTGTAGGGCCCATTGGCAGGTTCCTTCCGTTCGCATTGGATTGATGTCCTTGTGCTCCGTGTAATTCGATATGTAAAAAGCTCTGTGACATTTTTGTTGTTCAAGCCTCAAAGTTCTTGCGTTCTGCTCATTATAGTGTTTCTCTTGTTGATCGTACGCTTGCTGTAGTTGCCTTTGAGTGCTTTCCAGTACGTCTATGCGGTTCCCTTGGTCAATATTTGATATAACGTATTTCTAAGACTACGCCTTACTAACCAGATAGAATAACACTAATCCTCTCCTCGGCCTCAATTTTGTTCAATGGTATCCTCTGTAGAAGATCCTTGGCGTACGCAGCCGCCACCATCGCTGCATACCCTTGCCACTCTTTGCCCTTATGCGAATCCGAGTAGTCGCAGACACCCCGGATAACCAGATAGGGGAAGGTGTTTATCAGTCCGGCTGCTTCCATTTCAAAACAGAGAACGTCTTTCTCCGCTGCTAGTCTATCTCGAATCAAAGCATCCTTCATCAACTGGTTCGCAGAAGCAATCAGGCCATAGTGAATTGTAGGATTATCTTCATATTCGGACCGCTCACGACGTAGAACCAAGTTTGAGGCATTGTTTGCATAGGATACAGTATCACAATCTGATTCATGGTTGACAGACGGCTGGAAGAGCCTATCCGTGCTTGATTCCGGACGTTCGTACTCGCTGCGCAATCGAACGTTCGTATCGAGGATAAGATTGATAGCCTCTATAAGCTTATGCCCCTTTCTCTTATATTGCGCTTGTATCCCTGTTATCGCAGTGCGAAGTGTAGTTGGTGGTTGGTTTAAGAACCGTGTATACTGAAATTCTTGGCCTTGTATCGACTTGCCAAAGTCGTACTGGAAAACACCACCCTGACTACCACGAGGCGCACTGACCACGACATCGCCTAGACGAACGTCATGCTTTTCGCTTGGTACGCCGCCACCAATGCCGACCATAAGGCCTATTCTGACATTATAAAAGGTGTTCAGCATATTTGTGGCTACATTGGCCGCGGAAGCTGTGCCATATTCACCATCAGGTAAGACGGCGATGACGACGTTGTGCTCGCACATCTTGCCTAATGTATAGTCGTTGGTGTCATTTGGCGATACAAAGCTAGGTTTTTCGTGCTCTTCATCGAGGAATTCTTGTGCGGCAACGTATTCCACGGGCAAGGCGCAGATCCAGCCTACGGTGTAGTTCGCGGGGTCTGACATACCTGCTACTATAGCAGAAAGTGCCCTGAGATTGCGATATTGCTTGGTTTGAGCCTAAGTCAAGGATATGACACGATATGCTGATCGTGTACGGTTCTTAAACAAGAAAAGAAAGGTTGGAAAGGACGAGAGAAAGAGAGAAACCGGCATGAACCCGGAAGGCTCAGCCCCATAGTGGACACGAAGCGTAGCAGCGGGCGGCAAGATAGAAAACGCTATTGGTGGGAGGTGCCTACGCTGTCTCCATTCAACGAAGAAAACAATACTAGGATGTCAGTCCTTAGGCACTTATCTCTAGAGTAATTGATTGCTCTATCATTCACGTTCACGGTTCATGAACCAGATAAATAATTAGCGCGGTCTTCCTTCTGGTCTAAATCCTAGCAGTAATGCATTTTGTCGGCTGTGGGAGATGCCATACCAAAATTCCCATCAAGGCTGAGTATCGTAGACCCACCCACTCACACAGACAATCCACCAATAAATAATTACACCGACCTTCGCTCGAACCAAATGACCTCCCCAGATCACATTCGTGATCTAAATACCAGGTACAATAATGATGTTTGGCTTGTTTGCACAACGATCCTCAAAATTGTATCGAGAAGATCGACCCGTGGACCTTCCCACCTGGGCAACTTAGATAAGCGTAAGTATCTTTATTTTGAGGCACAAACCTGCGTCCTTTCTTAGTTCAAGGCAGTACAACAAGGCTAACAAGTTTCATCCATGGATTTGAATTGACATATAAAATAATAATCAAATATAGTAAATCATAAGCCGAGAGATATACCCATTCTGTAGTATATGGAGTCATGATTATGATTATATATTTGTTTTTCTGGTGGTGCTTCAATGATTTATTGTCACGGTCCCCGCAATCAGTAAGCTGAGGGCCGCTATATTACTCATCAACTTTTGACTGCCAAGGTGACCATGCTAGAAAAATCATGCGGGGTACGAGTGCCACGTACATATCACAGTTAGTTCACTTATACAGTCAGTGGACACCTAGGGGCCAGGGGTGCAAAACCTTATGTCCAGTCACTATATTGGAGCCGTAATTCTATTTCCAAATACCAGATACCAAGAGCAGGTATTACTAGATACAGTCACTACGCAAAAGTGTTAACACCCTAGGTTCTGCCGGTTCAATATCCACCAATAAAAGCCAATCGATAATGGGCGGTATAATTAATTAAGAAGGCGGTAGCAGAAGGGGGTGTTAAACAGTAAGTGTCTGTCAAATAATTTATTGCACTAGTGTCTTGGCAGTGGGGCCTGAAAACAAAAAAGTGATGCCTGGGGCGGAAGCTGATTTCGCTACCGACTGTAGGCGAGTAGGCAGCGCTTGTTACGGTACATGCAGAGGTGGTCGACTCCGCACTTATCATCACAAACTCCGAGGCTTTCACATTCCGCTACCATTTGTACTAGATACGCCGAGAAGTAACAATCTATAGCATGCTAGAAGTATGCGATTAGAAGACCGAGATCACTATCCTGAATCAACACCAATATTCGAAAAGATCATTTCCTCCGATCCCGCTATATACTTGTCACGGTCACCTTCGAGTGACAGATCATCATCCAGCGCGACCTCTATCATGTCTTCCATATCGCTTTGAAAGTAACGAGGGCGGTCATATCTCTCCCATCTCGCCTCTTTAGCTAGCGTTGCATTGTCAACGCTTTTGCTTGACAGGAACCGAAATCTGACCTTGCGATATTGCACCGCGATGATTTGCTCGCCTTGGGCCACAAACTGCCGTTGCAAGTCTTCCGCGCGCCCACTAGACCCGGCCAGTCTAGGATCAGCTAGTTCGCTAAATGGCACAACAACTCCTGATGCTAACAGCGCACTCGAGATTGGTATAGCTAGACTGCCATCCAGAACCTTTTGTTCTCGCGAGTGCTCGGCGATACGAGCATCCAAGACAGTATGGTAGCCAACCACAACATGTATATCCTCTCCCTCATCGATAGTACGCTCAATCCACCTCCGGACATCTTCTGATTTCACGCTATCCCGGAACCACTGTCCATTGTTGTCCAAGTAATAGGTCTTCACTTGTTTCGTCTTGATATGAATCGAGGTATTCGTCCGGCTTGATACGGCAGAGGAGAGGAAGGCGGTAAGCTCAGAACCAAATTTACGTTGGGCCCTAAGAGAGTCGGCGCCGTCGTACTGGGTTGCAATCTTCTCGATAATACGGAAATTCTTCCCTGGTCCCGGATCAAGGTAATCTCGGTGAGGCTCGTCAATGTTGATGACGAAACGTCCGAGCGTAATAGCAGACGGTGGTAGGAAGAACTGCGGGAGAAGAACGCTACTGCGCATTTCGAAGTAAATCGGATATTTGGCGTGGTACGAATAAGATAGAGCAAGTTGGGTGCCACATGAGCAATTATAGGAGAGGAAGCTGGCGACGTGGCAGAGTGGGTCCAGATTGTCAACTACGGGACCGGCCGCGCTATGACCTCTGCGGCTGAACCTTCCTCGCTGTCAGTCATCAGGGCTGAGAAACATGTGGATGTTCTTATCGAAAGACGATGTTATGTCACCAGGAAGAATTCAAAAATCCGCCGGGGAAGGGGTCCAAGTAATTCACCCGGAATTTGGAATTAAGGTCACGAAAAGTGAAGGTTCTGATAACAGACGAAGTAGGAGGTTTGCGGGCCACAGGATAGATTTGGGGAGGGGTAGAACGACGTGTCATTAATTAATTACTTCATTAGAACTGTAGCGGGGATATTCGGTCTATCTAGCGCAGGTAACATGCAGTAAGCAGAGCCCAAGAACATTAGCCCTATTAAATTTTGTTTCTACAGGATATGGGCTATTTCATTGGTGGAAGCACGATTGTGGATCTATGTACGGCTGAGTCATAACGTATTTCACCAGTGAGCTGCGCACACCAACGAGCTGCGCACCCCACCTAAAACGCGTCAACTAATTTACCCCCTTCTTCTTCAACCACCTACTATGCCACCAATTCGTACTCAATCTTCTCAAAATTCAATGGAGAGAGAGGGTAGGATCTTATTAGCTATACAGGCTATTAAGAGGCAAGAAATCAGCGCTCTTCGCGAAGCAGCGCGCCGTTTTGACGTACCCGAATCAACCCTTCGAACGCGCCTTCGTGGGACTACCTTTCGCGCTGAAACACGCGCCAACAACCATAAATTGTCTGAAACTGAGGAGGAATCTCTTGAAAAATGGATTCTCTCTATAGATCTACGTGGAGCAGCCCCCCCGGCCCTCTATGGTACGAGAAATGGCGGATCTTCTGCTTCAAAAGCGTAGAACTACCCCGGTTCTTTCGGTCGGCTAAAATTGGGTTACGAAATTCGTAAAACGACGTCCTCTTCTTTCCTCTCGATTCTCGAAACGTTATAACTACGAGCGTGCGAAATACGAAGACCCTAAAATCATGGGGGAGTAGTTTGATTTAGTTCAAAAGACAATCCTTCAATTTGGAATCGACCCTAACGATATCTATAACTTTGATGAGACCGGTTTTGTAATAGGATTGACTGCAACTGCGAAGGTTATTACGAGGAGTGAATACTACGGTCGGAGGCCGGTTTTACAACCTGGAAATCGTGAATGGGTGACTACAATTGAATGTACGAATACTTCTGGATGGGCCCTTCCTCCGTATATGATTTTTAAAGGCAAAGTCTTTATTGAATCATGGTTTGACGGCCTTCCGGGGGATTGGCGCTTCGAAGTCAGTCCTAATGGTTGGACCTCTGATGAAATTGGACTTCGGTGGCTTAAGAAGCTCTTTATTCCTAGTACTTCGCGTACAAAGGGGATATACCGGCTTTTGATACTTGATGGCCACGGAAGTTATTTAACACCTCAATTTGACGAAATTTGCGAGCAAAATAAGGTGATACCAATCTGTATGCCTGCGCATTCGTCTCATCTTTTACAACCTCTAGATATTGGTTGTTTTGCGGTGTTAAAACGTGCGTACGGTCGGATGGTTGAAACTAAGATGCGGAACGGGATCAATCATATTGACAAACTTGACTTCCTCGAAGCATACCCTCTCGCACGAATTGAAGCTTTTAAACCGGAGACTATTAAAAATAGCTTCGGGGCAGCCGGTTTAGTCCCTTTTGAACCGGAGAGAGTGATCTCTAAGCTTAATATTCGGCTTCGAACCCCAACCCCCCCTCCAAGCCGGGGGAGTGAATCAAGCCGGAATTTTACGCCAAAAACTCCATTTACAGAGAAAGATCTACGTCGACAAGCTTCGTCAATCAAAGCTTTACTTCGTACAAGATCTCGAAGCCCGCCCAGCCCATCAGATCGTGCATTAAACCAGCTTATAAAAGGCTTCCAGCTCCAGCTACAAAGTCATATTTTACAAGCGCAAGAAATCAAGGAATTACGCGCCGCCAACGAGAAGCATAAGCAAAAGCGTACTCGATCCCGAAGGCCTATTCCTACTGAAGAAGGCCTTTCAGTTCAAGAAGCCTCTGCATTAAATATACAGCAACAGGAAGCAACTGAAGCACCTCCCCCAGGCGCCGGCATACCTAGAGAACTAGCTATACAGCCACGTATACGCCCCCCCCGGGCCTGTGGAATATGCAGATTGCCAGGGCATAGAAGAGAAACATGTCCAGATAGATTATGATTTTAGTGTATTTAATTTAATGGAGTTTTGGTTGACATATTTACATTTGAAATTAGTAGGCTGGGTGGGGTGCGCAGCTCGTTGGTGTGCGCAGCTCGTTGGTGTGCGCAGCTCACTGGTGAAATACGTTAGCGGTAACTGCTGGAAAACTAGCGCTGCTGCATATTTGTTCAAGCTGATTCTGATTCTGCTGGCAATCAATCGGCTCAGAATTGTGGGTGAACAACTGTAAGTTCGATTACGCGAAGGCCTAATTCCAAGGACGTCTTCAAACCACGTGTACCTAGAGGTTGTACTTGAGAAGGATCAACCTAGGAAGGAAGCAAGGAGGTCGATACAAATGAACTCGGGAGATGGACTAATCGAAAGGGGGATCCGGGTGTCTCGCAAGGCGGTTATGACTAATCCTGATGGTCGTCCCGATCTTGCGAGGCGACTGGATAAAATCGGGAATAAGGTCGAATCTCGGTACAAACGAACTGGGCAGGTGGACGGCCTCGAAGAGGCAATCCAGGTGTCTCGCCAAGCGGTCCAGGCAACACCTGATGATCATCCTGATCTAGGAGGACGGTTATACCGTCTTAGCTTCGACCTTGGACGTCGTTTTGAACGGACAGAAGAACTGGACGACCTCGAAGAGATGATCCGAGTGTCTCGCCAAGCGGTCCAGGCAACACCTGATGATCATCCTGATCGCGCTGGAAGGCTAAGTAACCTTGGAAACAAGCTCAACGCTCGATACGATCTAAAAGGAGAAATAGCCGACCTCGAGGAGGCAATCCAAGTGTCTCGCCAAGCGGTCCAGGCAACACCTAATGATCCACCTAATGATCATCCTGATCTAGGAGGACGGTTATACCGTCTTAGCTTCGACCTTGGACGTCGTTTTGAACGGACAGAAGAACTGGACGACCTCGAAGAGATGATCCGAGTGTCTCGCCAAGCGGTCCAGGCAACACCTGATGATCATCCTGATCTAGGAGGACGGTTATACCGTCTTAGCTTCGACCTTGGACGTCGTTTTGAACGGACAGAAGAACTGGACGACCTCGCAGAGATGATCCGAGTGTCTCGCCAAGCGGTCCAGGCAACACCTGATGATCATCCTGATCGCGCTGGAAGGCTAAGTAACCTTGGAAACAAGCTCAACGCTCGATACGATCTAAAAGGAGAAATAGCCGACCTCGACGAGGCAATCCAAGTGTCTCGCCAAGCGGTCCAGGCAACACCTGATGATCATCCTGATCTAGGAGGACGGTTATACCGTCTTAGCTTCGACCTTGGACGTCGTTTTGAACGGACAGAAGAACCGGACGACCTCGAAGAGATGATCCGAGTGTCTCGCCAAGCGGTCCAGGCAATACCTGATGATCATCCTGATCTAGGAGGACGGTTATACCGTCTTAGCTTCGACCTTGGACGTCGTTTTGAACGGACAGAAGAATTGGACGACCTTGCAGAGATGATCCGAGTGTCTCGCCAAGCGGTCCAGGCAACACCTAATGATCATCCTGATCTAGGAGGACGGTTATACCGTCTTAGCTTCGACCTTGGACGTCGTTTTGAACGGACAGAAGAACTGGACGACCTCGAAGAGATGATCCGAGTGTCTCGCCAAGCGGTCCAGGCAACACCTAATAATCATCCTGATCTAGGAGGACGGTTATACCGTCTTAGCTTCGACCTTGGACGTTGTTTTGAACGGACAGAAGAACTGGACGACCTCGAAGAGATGATCCGAGTGTCTCGCCAAGCGGTCCAGGCAACACCTAATGATCATCCTGATCTAGGAGGACGGTTATACCGTCTTAGCCTCGACCTTGGACGTCGTTTTGAACGGACAGAAGAACTGGACGACCTCGAAGAGATGATCCGAGTGTCTCGCCAAGCGGTCCAGGCAACACCTAATGATCATCCTGATCTAGGAGGACGGTTATACCGTCTTAGCTTCGACCTTGGACGTCGTTTTGAACGGACAGAAGAACTGGACGACCTCGAAGAGATGATCCGAGTGTCTCGCCAAGCGGTCCAGGCAACACCTAATGATCATCCTGATCTAGGAGGACGGTTATACCGTCTTAGCTTCGACCTTGGACGTTGTTTTGAACGGACAGAAGAACTGGACGACCTCGAAGAGATGATCCGAGTGTCTCGCCAAGCGGTCCAGGCAACACCTAATGATCATCCTGATCTAGGAGGACGGTTATACCGTCTTAGCTTCGACCTTGGACGTTGTTTTGAACGGACAGAAGAACTGGACGACCTCGAAGAGATGATCCGAGTGTCTCGCCAAGCGGTCCAGGCAACACCTAATGATCATCCTGATCTAGGAGGACGGTTATACCGTCTTAGCTTCGACCTTGGACGTCGTTTTGAACGGACAGAAGAACTGGACGACCTCGAAGAGATGATCCGAGTGTCTCGCCAAGCGGTCCAGGCAACACCTGATGATCATCCTGATCTAGGAGGACGGTTATACCGTCTTAGCTTCGACCTTGGACGTCGTTTTGAACGGACAGAAGAACTGGACGACCTCGCAGAGATGATCCGAGTGTCTCGCCAAGCGGTCCAGGCAACACCTGATGATCATCCTGATCGCGCTGGAAGGCTAAGTAACCTTGGAAACAAGCTCAACGCTCGATACGATCTAAAAGGAGAAATAGCCGACCTCGACGAGGCAATCCAAGTGTCTCGCCAAGCGGTCCAGGCAACACCTGATGATCATCCTGATCTAGGAGGACGGTTATACCGTCTTAGCTTCGACCTTGGACGTCGTTTTGAACGGACAGAAGAATTGGACGACCTTGCAGAGATGATCCGAGTGTCTCGCCAAGCGGTCCAGGCAACACCTAATGATCATCCTGATCTAGGAGGACGGTTATACCGTCTTAGCTTCGACCTTGGACGTCGTTTTGAACGGACAGAAGAACTGGACGACCTCGAAGAGATGATCCGAGTGTCTCGCCAAGCGGTCCAGGCAACACCTAATGATCATCCTGATCTAGGAGGACGGTTATACCGTCTTAGCCTCGACCTTGGACGTCGTTTTGAACGGACAGAAGAACTAGACGACCTCGAAGAGATGATCCGAGTGTCTCGCCAAGCGGTCCAGGCAACACCTAATGATCATCCTGATCTAGGAGGACGGTTATACCGTCTTAGCTTCGACCTTGGACGTCGTTTTGAACGGACAGAAGAACTGGACGACCTCGAAGAGATGATCCGAGTGTCTCGCCAAGCGGTCCAGGCAACACCTGATGATCATCCTGATCGCGCTGGAAGGCTATATGGCCTTGCAGTCGATCTCGGACGACAATATAGACAGACAGAAGAAATGGACGACCTCGAAGAGATGATCCGAGTGTCTCGCCAAGCGGTCCAGGCAACACCTGATAATCATCCTGATCTAGGAGGACGGTTATACCGTCTTAGCTTCGACCTTGGACGTCGTTTTGAACGGATAGAAGAACTAGACGACCTCGAAGAGATGATCCGAGTGTCTCGCCAAGCGGTCCAGGCAACACCTGATGATCATCCTGATCTAGGAGGACGGTTATACCGTCTTAGCTTCGACCTTGGACGTCGTTTTGAACGGACAGAAGAACTGGACGACCTCGCAGAGATGATCCGAGTGTCTCGCCAAGCGGTCCAGGCAACACCTGATGATCATCCTGATCGCGCTGGAAGGCTATATGGCTTTACAGTCGATCTCGGACGACGATATAGACAGACAGAAGAAATGGACGACCTCGAGGAGGCAATCCAAGTGTCTCGCCAAGCGGTCCAGGCAACACCTGATGATCATCCTGATCTAGGAGGACGGTTGTACAACTTAGGAACGTATCTCGAGGCTCGATACGATCGAAAGGAGCAAACAGATGATCTTGAAGAGTCGATTCGGATGTCTCGTCAGGCAATTGCTGCTACCCAAAAAAATCATCCTGACATACCAAACCTATTCTGTGACCTCGGAGCAAAGCTTAACACCCGGTATAGACGAAAGGGAAAGATGGAAGACATCGAAGAAGCGATTCAGTTCTCTCGCCAAGCAGTTCAGGCAACTCCTAACGACCATATTGCTTTTGCAGTACGGCTAAATAACCTAGGGAACAACCACTCAAGTCGCTATGCACTTAAAGGACGGATAGACGACCTTGAAGAGGCGATCCGGTTGTCTCGCCAGGCTATTGGGGCCACTCCTGATAATCATACTGATCTTCCAATGTTTTTCAGTAGCCTCGGAACCAATCTTGGGCATCTATATGATCGAACAGGGGAAATGGAATACCTCGAAGAGGCGATTGAGGTGTCTCGTGAGGCGGTTCAGGCTGCTCCTTCTGACTATCGTCAATTTCCAAAGCTGTTAGATATCCTAGGGAGCCAGCTCCTAAGTCATTATAAACGATTAGGCAAGCTGGAAGACCTTGAAGATGCGATTCGAATGTCTCGCCAGGTGATCCAAATGACTCCTGACGACCATCCCGATGTTCGAGGGTTTTTGCAAACCCTCGCAACCTATCTCTATAGTCGGTATGAACGAACAGGGAACGCGGAAGACATTGAAGAGGCAATTCGGGTATCTCACCAGGTGATTCAGATCACTCCTGACGACCATCCCAGTTTTGGGATCGCGTTGAACAACCTTGGAATCTATCTCAAAGGACGGTATCAAAGAACAGAGAATATGGACGACCTCGAAGAGGCAATTCAACTGGCCCAACGTGTCGTTCATACAACCCTTGATGATGATTTCTATCGCGCAGCATGTTTAAGTAACCTCGGAACCCGTCTCAAAAGTCGGTATGAACGAACTGAGAGTATGGACGACCTCTCAGAGTCCATCCGGCTGTCCCGCAAGGCTGTTCAAATGTCCCTTGATGATCATCCTAATCGCGCAATATTTTTATACAACCTTGGGATTGATCTTGAATGTCGTTATGAGCAAACAGAACAAATAGAGGACCTCAAAGAGGCGATTCGTTTATCTCGCCAGGCGGTTCAAACCAAATCAACACCTCCTTTGGTTCGGATCGCTGCTGCTAATCTGGGCCTTCGCCTCCTACTTAAGCGCAAAGACTACCATGCTGGTTACACTCTATCTGTTGAAGCTATCGATCTCCTGCAGCTGGTGCACAAAAGGTCTTTGACCCTACAGGATCGACAATATGTCGTCTCACACTTCTCTGGCTTAGCTACGCAGGCCTGCTCCCTCACCATTCAGACTCGACAGCCCCTTTCCGAAGCTCTGCGCTTGTTAGAGCGTGGACGTGGTGTCATCCTTGGTCTTCTCATGGATGACCGGAGTGACACGTCCGAACTAAAAGTGGCCCATCCCGATTTATGTGCACAATACGAAAGCCTTCGCCTTGAGGTAAACACTCGTCTCGAGAGCACCGAATCTCAGCGCATGAGTAAGCAAATTTCCACAAGACGGCCAAAAGCTGTCGAGGAGCTCGAAAAATGCATACAATATATACGCCAACTTCCTGGCTTTGAATTCTTTCAAAACGGTCTTTCTGTGGAGAAAATGCTGGCTGCTTCTAATAAGGGTAGCATCATCGTGGTGAATGTCACCAACCTAAGAAGTGATGCTATTATCATCTCCGCATCCGGATTTAGCCTAGTCCCTCTTCCTCGGTTTGAGGCGGTCCAAGCGCAGCGTTGGGTCGACCAGGAAGTGAATTCGGCTGGGAATAACAAATCATACCGCCAATTTTTAATCTGGCTCTGGCGGGAGTGCGTAAAGCCTGTCCTCTCTGAACTCGATAATTCTGTTCAATCATCTCTAGAGGAACTCCCGAGGGTCTGGTGGATCGGCACTGGACTTGCCAGCTCCTTCCCATTTCATGCGGCGTGTGATATCTCTGCAGGAGAAAACACATTCTGTCGCGTTTTATCTTCCTACACCCCGTCAATCAAGGCATTACTACACGCAAGAGAGCGGGGTTCTGTCTCTACCCCATCAAACAAAACCCCCCGAAAGCTACTCGTGGTTACCATGGCCAACACACCCGGCGCTAATGACCTACCAGGGGTAATAGCCGAAAGGTCTACGGTCCTAGGAGTACTTGGAAACTCTGTTCAGGTGGAATGTCTCGACCAACCGGACTCTGCAAGCGTTTTGCGCCAAATTCGGGAATGCAATGTCGCCCATTTTGCTTGCCACGGAATCTCAGACTCGGGTGATCCTTCTCAAAGTGGCCTTTTACTGCAGACTGCGACTGCAAACCCAAGACAGGAAATCCTAACTGTTCTGAAACTCTGCGAAAACCACCCTACTCTTGGGGATATTGCATACCTCTCTGCATGCTCAACTGCAGAGAACCAGGCAGAAGGTCTGACAGATGAAGCCCTTCATGTTGTCAGTGGTTTCCAGGTCGCCGGATTCAGGCACGTCATTGGGACTTTGTGGCGATCTGATGATAGCGTGTGCGTGGAGGTTGCGAGATTGTTCTATGCTGAGCTTTGTCGGAACGGAGCTCTAGAGTACACCGATAGAGTCGTCGCGATGGCACTTCATAAGGCGGTTTTTGACGTTTCGAAAAAGGTTGAATACCGGAAACGGCCGTTACATTGGGCACAATTTGTCCATTACGGAGCTTGAGCATGGATCGGTGTTGTCATTGTGTGTGCTATCTGATGTGTACCAAGCCAGCCAGGGTTACCACTTGAACACTGACGGTGTAGGTAACAGAGAAATGACTTCTTGCCTGATTGTCAGATGGTCGAGACCCACTCCAGCTCCTGGAATTTGACTTGTTCGCATTGATATGGGAAGTTCCAGCTATTCCATACAGTAATGAGACACGACCTACAAGTATCTCTGAACGTAAAGTACGGTACAGGTAATCAAACGGGAATATTGATAGTCCGAGCCTATCCCCCATGCAGTATAGTAGGACTTGGCACTAGGGTTCGGGGAACAATCGAAGAGTGTAACTGGTGACACCAGTTACGGGACGTACTGTAACGAAAATTAAGGAATAAGAAATTAAACAATCAGTTTAATATTCTTTTCGACCAGATATCTTCGCCTAGAGGAACGAGATCTGAGGAATGGTTCTACAATTAAAGTCAAGCGGTTAGGAGGGAAAGGAGGTACATAGTTTTCTCTTGACCATAACTTACCTTGGCTTGCAAAGACAGGGCCTTGTCCTCCGTTTGGAACTAGGATGTTGGGGGTGAATCACCTCCAGAGTGTTTTCTACTTATGACAATAAATATAAGCTCGGACTACAAGAGTATGTTGTTTGATTTAATTGATTTGTTTTATTGGTATATGTGCTATTTGCACTGGGATGTATGTGTAAGCATGGGCAAATCAGAAGGGCTGTAGCGAGTCTAGAGAGCGACAAAGCCATAACAACGAATTGAACTAAAGACCTATCTCTTTTGGGGCTGTGTGCAGATGCCAAGGGTCGAAACGTTTCAGGTTCAACTTGTAATCCAATTATATCACGCTCCGTATCACTTTAGGAGGTCAGTGCGGGCGTCACGCTACCTAGGGTGATTCTCACCCATTTGTCACCCCGATTCTCACCCTGTCTATAGCGCACTCACCCTTCTCACCCCTGGTCGCGCGACCGTAAAGCGGCGCTCACCCATTTCTCACCCGGGCGACACCCACCGAACTATTGACCGCACATAAGCCACACGCCGGTGAGTTAGTAGTTGGGTGGGTGACCACCAGCGAATCCTCACTGTTGTATGTTTTTCTTTTTTTATTTATTTCTGCTAATTCATTCAGTTTAAGTAAATCTTGCCCAAAAGTAATATTAATACTCTATATCCTAGTGGTACCTAGAGGTACCGGCTCAACGTCGCTTTCTGTGTGCGTCATAGGGTGAATTGGAGTGTCAAGCTAGAAAAGACTTGAGAGAGGAATTCATCAATAGATACCATCCAAGTCCTTAGAAATCGTGTGCTCATTCAAGTTAAGAAAAGAAAAGAAAACAGGGAAGAAAAAGGAGCTGGCTGTTGCTCACTTCTCCGATGCCATAATCGCAAGAACAATGCCCGCAAACTCGGCGACGTCCCGTTCGTGTTGTATCAACCATGGCCCATAACGGGTCATGGTGAGAAAGCCGCCATTTGGCAGGCTAATGGCTCGCTTGCTGCGTAGCCACGGGAGGTAGGTATTGTCAAAACTGGCCACTGTGATATACATCTCAGGACCGTCTTGGGAGATTATATAACGGACCCTATATATTGTAATGTTAGCACTTTCGAACGCCTAGCCTCTATTTGAAAAAAAGGGCCTCCTGCCGGTTGTGAACGGCCGCGTCACATTTAAGTCATGCGACAACTTCTGCGGCTTCCTGCATTGACACAGAGGGCTCGTGGACCCTTCTGAAAGACCGTTTGGCCTCAACAAGGATCGCGAGGGAGCCATCTTTCCTTGTATAGTAGCCATCCACTTTGGCATTGAATGGGACCCCAGGCTTAAACTCCGCTCCGAAAAACCGTTGATGTGGGGTCCACTGGCCCTTGATTAGCGGGTATTTCGTAGCAAGAGCGGTCAGAAACACCATGAGACTAGTGTTGACTGATTCCTCGTCAATTAGACGCTCCAAATGGCTCTTTGGCACACTATCGTCATCAAACCCTATATAGGATTCTGCAGATGTCTCTTTTGAATGGGTCTGAACTGATGTCACCTCTAACTGGGCGGGAGACATGGTTTGTGCAGCACGGAATATATGCACAAGCAAACCCACCACCTCCTGATAATTGCCGAGGCGAGCACTAACGATATGCTCAGACCACTATTCAAGTTAGAGCATGTATGATTTGATGGTATAGTATAGTCTACTCACCTCCGAATCATTGTTGATCTTCAAGAACCACCAATACACGCCATCGGACACAACACCATACACAGTTGAATCTTTTTTCTGGAGGTCTTTTCGACGCCTGTGCACACAGCCCATATACCCAAGCGTTTGAGAGACCCCAGTTGATGCAGATAGAGTTCCCTTCGTTTCAACGATAACAACACTGACAGCCACATCCTCTTCATTGCCGTACCACAAGCTGTAGTCAGGGCGCCCAACAAGGTCGTACTTGGCGCCTTTATATATAGCTGGGCCATACCGCCAGAGGCCTTCGGCATTCAAGTTCAAGTTCAAGTCGTTCATTTTTATATCCGAGGAAGTGGTGCCTAGTTGCGACGTGACAAAATGATGGGCGAAGATAAGGAGGTTGTTAAGAGTGATCCGGGTTAACGCTTCGTTTGGTTCACTTTTGCCAAACGCGTCCATCCATTCGGCTTGGTCAAATCAGTTATATGTCACATTGGCCTGAACATTCCGTAAGGGACACGTACCATAGATAGGGGACAGCTCATCTGGAGTTCTGTTACGGAACTCGAGGTCGTTCGGTGACAAGCTCAGCTTAAACATAACCTGGATATCCCGGAGTTTTAAGGAGGAAATTGCTAACCTTGGTCGCTCGAACTGGTCTCCTTGTACCATTGATGTGAGATTTGCGAGCGACGCTTTTAGTTGGGCGAAGGATAGCTTGTGGGCCTGATTGTGAATGTCGAGGATCGTATGTATGAGCTTTCGTTTGCTTGTCTTTTTCTTGGTAACTTTAGTAGGTGGCATGTCGGATAAGCCACACGAAGGAAAGGTTGAGTTGAGTTGAGATTGAGTTGAGTTGGTGGAGGGAAAGAATAAACGCCAGGAGTGAAGAGTATATATACCTAGGTAGATCCTGAAAAGCTCTAGGAAGGCACCCATTTCCCAAGTAGGCTTAGCAGAAAACTCATTTCTTTGTAATGCTAGTTATCTATTTCCTAAATAGGCTTAGTAGCAAATTCACTTCAGATTCACTTCAGATTCATTTCAGATTCATTTTACTTTAGAAGTGCCTATACCTATATAGTATACCCTATATTATACGTCTTATGATAGAAGGCTTCTTCCGTCTAAGAAGAGTGAGATCCAAGTGCCCGCAGCCCGATCCGTAGTGTTGCAAGGTTGGGTTGACAACAATGTCGGCTAGATCTTCTTTACAGGAGCCGAACCCATATAGAAACATAATTAGGGGGCTAGAGTTCAAGTTATGGATTATAGAGAGATTGAGGTTTACACCCTTAACCTGAAGTGGAATTGTCACGTATGTGAGTGTCATAGTGAGAGGCTCGAACAAAGTCCAATACGAAGGGAGGAACATTTGAATACTTGATAAAAGTGATATGTCCGTACAATTTACCGGAAGACGCTACTTGTTGGGTGCCTGGGTGCCTGAGGCCCAGGACATGAGACTGATCCACATCTGTAGACAGTTTCTCTTCCTCTCTCCTCTTCTCTCTCTCTCTCTTGGTCCATCTTTACTATTACGAATCTCACTGCATTGTTTCTCCACAAGCATCTGTAGGTTCTCCATTACTACTTTCTTAAAATTTCGATCAATAGTTTCGCCGTTCCCGGTGGATCTAGCCAGTCCTACGCTGCATTTTAATTCTTGTCTACGGGAATGCTATCTCTCTGACTACTGTAAAAACTTGTAAGTAGCTACTATGTAATTCGTTTAGACAGTTTCAAAAAAATTAATAAGAAGAAACATACAACAGCATGTCTAAAGTTACCACCAAGCCATGCTAGCAGGTACCTTCTCGCAAGTCGAGTGCCTAGCTTCAATATTATTTCCAATATACCAAAGCTGTTTGATACAAGATTTGACAGTAAGGGGCGGAGAGAGTGACAAAAAGAGAGAAATTGGGGTCTACATGGCACTTTCGAGTTTCCTTCGAAGCTCCATCCAAGTTTTTACGACTCTGGCTCCTCAACGCGTGCAAGGGGCTTCAGGCACGAAAGATGCTTATCCTGATGCAGGGCATCGCCCCCATTTGCATATGCCCTGAGGACCTCGGAATTCCTCTCTTTGATTGTGTTGACCATGTACTCGATGCCATCAGTGGCAAGCTCCTCTAGGGCTTTCTCATTGGCATCCTTGGCTTCTACCTGAATTTCATGGAGCCGCCTCAGCCAGAACATGTATCTCCATGGCGAGAATCCAGCGGGTGATCGCTGTCCGAGCTCCGATTCAAGGAACTCCTCACCACCCTTGCTAATATCGCTAGGGCAGTCGTTCCAATACACCTCCGATAGTAAAAGGAGGTTATGGCTTGCTATTTTCAGCCAAGAAATAGCAGCTGGTAACAGATGAAAAACCTCAAGCTGCTTGATACCTCGGTTGGGGTCTTCCTCGTCTGACTCTTCCCCAGTGCGGAGTGCTTGACAGCTTTCAAAGAGATTACGGAAGATCAGAAGAGCAACTTGGCACAGCCTATCCTTAGCCACACGAGCGGATGCAAGTTTGGCTAGGAATGTTGCAAAGTTGAGACGGTGTGTTCCCGACATAGAAGCACCATTATTGACCCAGAAATCGGTCATATCACCAGCCAAGAAGGGTAAATCATTCCAAAGTGTACCGTCGATGGTTCTTGCAATATCAATCCCAGAGACTCCTCGTACAGGTCTAGTCAACGGCCCCATTCCTTGAATGCGGATGATATCGAGCACTATGCCCTCATGTTCAGGTGATTCGGAGGAGATGTTTCGGCCAAGCTCGTAGTACATATACCATAGCGAATGAATGTGGCCTTCAAGGGAATCTGCACCATCTCCAATATCGCAGTATCGGCTGGTAACGACCCAAGTCCGGTTACTGAAGGCCACCTCTCGAACTTCTTTGAATTCACCCCGAGCGATAGACTGGCGTGTACTTTCCTGGTCTCTACGAGCATGGTCGCCCGTTATGACAGCAGGAGTGCCCCTAGGCAGAGAGCTCAGCAGAGAATCACGGAGGTGGTGCATTTTAGGAAGCTGGCTGTATTGATTGATGATTCGACTAGAATTCTGAAGTGAAAGCGTTATATAATAGAGCCCCACGGGGACTTGAATTGTTGTAAGGGTCAACTTAAATGAGGAACAGACAGATTTCTCTTCGGGTCGACTTTTCTCTGCAGGGGACCCCTGCTAGGCAGCAACTTAGGAGGCTGACAGCCCAACCAATTTCTGAATGGTTGGACTTGAGCTAAGACAAAAATATATGTCGATCATACATAACTAACTAGGAGTTTAAAGGTTGTCAGTTCATCTGACACATATGCATTTCCTCATAGGCCTATAGGCCTCCGGGGCAAAACCTTCCGCTTGAGGGTAGCCTGAAAATCTACAACAATGGCTCCACATAAGTTCTAGTCTAATTCGCGTTCCGTTCCGCCTTGGCGATGCTTTCTCAATGCACCACTGTAAATAAGGTGTCGGCATTACCTTACGAATACTTGCATGAGACCGGGTCTATTTTGATCCGACCCGATGCCTTTTACCAGACCGGTATGGTATTTGACAGCAGACAACGATCTGACGCTACTCGACGTTTAAGGCGTACTGATCCCCAACCTCCCTCTCACAAGAGATTCTGTATTAACCCCATGACCATGAGACTTCTGTGGTGGATGTGCTCCTTAACATACTTCGTGTCTCTTGTGAGTGCTGATTCCGATTGTATCGGTACATGGTGTGACATATGCCTACCCGTGACTATTCACGATGCACCCGGGGTTGGCTTCGATCTGACACCTCTATATGGGTAAGTATATCGGTCCTTTGTTTATTACAAAGGCAAATATCTGATAGCATCCAGGACGGCCGTGGTGAATTATTACAATGGAACTGTTGTCGAGGTTGCTAAGATTCGGGGGAATCCGGAATACCTCGAGCTTATGGCACGCCTCGCTATATCTAAGCCAGTACTGCAATCAACTCGAAATTTTATGCACGAACTTTCATCCTACTTAGTGGAATATCTCTTCCCGAGCGTCTCGTCGCCCTGGAGAGACTGGTGGCGTTGGCTGAACATGAAACTAGGCCGGCCGATAAAAGCAGATGGTGTCGAAATTATTAGTGATTTACTCCAAGAACTGAAAATCGCCACCGAAAAAGCAATTTCCCAGCCTCTGGATAGGGTTGCCGTTACAGAGCCAGGTTTCCAGGCGCTAAGCCCGGCTATGGTCAACGCTGCACTCCGAGTCCTAGGTTTACGCACATGGCTACGCGATAGCGTTTATTACCCCTCTCGCTTAGTAGAAGGAGATGCTGTATATGCAGCGAACGGTTATGGTTTATGCATCAACTACCTAGATCGTTTCCAATGCGCGGATGAATTTGCAAATTCGCCAGCTCTTACCGTTTTTGTGGTTTCCTACAACCACAATCTCTTATACACTAGTATTATGGACTATGATACTAGTGAAGCTTTCCCTTACTTTTCAAGTCCTGAGGCGCAACTCGTGGACTACGAGCTTGGCCTAGATAATCCTCTCGATAATGATCAAGACCAAACCGTATTTTGGGATCGTCTCCGTTCACAACTCCAAATCCTTCCTCGGGAGTCCAAATATACTATCACACATATCCTGCTAGCTGGCGAAAGCGTCACACACCCTCGCTTCCTAGCTTCCCTCAGAGAGTCTATGTCGGAACTCTCGCTTAGTCCTACCACGGCCAAAATTCAACTCGCGATAGATCCAACTTTTGCAGCAGCGCGGGGTGCAGCACTTTACGCACGAAGGCGCCAAGAGGCGCCGAATGACTACTATGGAAAATTTGAATGCGAAGAAATGAGGTTACGCGAGCGTTTACACACTTCCACACGGGAGGAACTTCGGTAAAAAAGCTCGGGATTGTCAACACTTAAGAATTGGGTTACACGTGGATGACTAAGCCGAAATCAATATACACAGAAGAAATGCATCACATGTTTGTTAGGCATACATTAATATACAGTAATCCAAAACAGTCCCATCTTAAACGCTTTTTTGCAGGGTGAGTGGAGAGATTTTATTCAGCCACCTGGCCACAGAAAGAGACACGCCGGTCTTGGTACCAGCCACAAAAACAAACCGGCTGTCCATAAAGTACAAGTACAATGCTCCAAAAACACAGGCTGCGGGATGCGGTATTAAAAGCAAGTAAAGAAAACAGGGTCTTCTATGATATGTCGTTTAAGAATGATGAACCAAATTGGGCACCCGAGAAGAGAGACTTAATGTGGGGATGTCGTTATGAGGAAAGAGATGGAAGGGAGGATAAATCGAGGGTGATCGAGTGTATATAAGTCGATCGTGTTGGTGAATGGGGAGGAGGGGAGGGGAATTTAAGCCAGAGCCTTGTGCTCAGATGGAGGCGGGGGAGGAAGCTGTTGGACATTCGTGGTTAGCAGACACGTCTTAAACCCAACCTCCAAACGTATTCATTCAAAAATCAAAGAGTTCATCGTACCTCAAGCTTTGTGTTATCAGCCATCATACGCTGGAAACCAATGCCGACACCCTCAATCACAGCAAGGAAGACGGCACACATAATAGCGGAGTTTCGGGCAGCCTTGTAACCACCACGGATAGCGAGGGAACCACCGGTGAAGAAACCAGCGATGATAGCATTATAGGGATCTTCCTTCTTGCGAATTCCCTTGATTGAACAGTCGTATATACTGAAAAGTCCTCCCCAACAGCCGAAGTTACCACCGAGGACGGGGGCACGCGCCTTGATAGCTGTGAGAGCACCTATCCGGCGCTCACCGTAGGGACTATTGCGGAACCCCTTGACACCGTGCCAGACGGCACCACCGATGGCACCCATACAGAAAGCACCGCCGAAGTCGCTCAGGGCAACCCAGGGGCAGGGGTCGCGGGTGTGATCCATAATGTGTGAAAGAGGCTGGTTGAGAGCCGGTGATATAAAGGCAGATCGGCTGGTCAGGAACCGATTGTGAAAGGCGCCGGGTTAAAGGTCGAATATTGGCAAATAAGCCCAGTGAGAGAAAGATCACGGTGAAAGATGAGGGTTGTAAAGGTCGAAGATTGACAAGCACAGAGACGCGATAACAAGATAAGGGCGGGTCGACTTTTTCTTTCTCAGGTCGGGGTACACGTGACCACCGATGTTCGATCCGGTCGCCACCGAACCCTTTGATTTCTACGGATATCCCCCGTGTTTATTTGTTACTTTTGGATTATCATTCGTTCGGGTTAGGAATCCTCGGGTTCCCTACCCGGAGGACGAGAATATCCCGGTCACTCATCCCTGCATTATGTCTTGAGACCATCAGAAAATTTCCTCGTTCCTGCGCAATAATCTATAATAGTTACTCCACGATTCTTTAATTATCATTGTTTTGGGAGGGGCCAACAGAGCCAATCAGAGATCATAGATCCCAACACCTCGGAACTATTCTGCCATCTAAAAGAATCAGGGTCCTACGGCTGCACTTCTTTGTCTACCTATAACAAGTTCGCCCTACACTGGTGATCTCGTCGAACGACTCGGGAAACCACTCATTTACGTTCTTCCTCGCTTCACAAGTACCAGCGGTCATTAACAGAAGATATTCGGGGGATCGCATAGGAGGCGCTCAAGCTTCTCAAAGTATATAGATCCGAGCTTTATTCGAGCTAAACCGGGATTTGGCGAGAATGGTGCGAGAGGTAGAACAGGGGTAATTGGCATGAATTATCTTTGCGGAAACACGGAAAATTTGGTGGGCGTAGCTAATTACACCAAGAAAGAAAAAAGACACCGGACAGAAATATGAGTGATATATATGAGACCTGCATACTTCATAACTACCTATATGTGTATGCTCACATAGATCTATCTGTGGAGGCCTGATATGTGGGGTGTAGGTAGCCCCGAGGCCAATAGTTCGTGGTATTAACATCTATATGTCGGTCTCGCATCATGATTCCCTATTCTATATAATCCTCTATATCACACTCTCCCTGCACAACCCAATTGTTTGCCTTCTATAATTCTCTCCTACATATAACCTGATACATACGACCACAGGGTGTGGAAAACAGGGCTTCCCGTCCGCTCAGCCGTACTTAAGCCACACGCCGGTGAGTTAGTAGTTGGGTGGGTGACCACCAGCGAATCCTCACTGTTGTATGTTTCTTTTTTCCTTTTTATTTTTATTGCTTGCTCAATAAATTCGCTGAGAACAGACTGCCAAAATGTGGCACCGGTCGAGTATTGATTTCAACCTGCACTGTCAATACCTAAGTGAATTCTCACCGAGGCACTTGGAGCCATAAAAAAAAGAAAGACATAAATACAACCTGCAAGGTCCCTCTTTTACTCTACTATGATTTGCTTCAATTTGTTTAGCTAAGTTATCAAGTATATGACATGCCTCGTACTAGCGGCCACATGGTATCGTGTCCTGTAGATCCGTGTATTCGCCTTCGTATTTCGACACTATTTATTGTAGGGTCTATTATGTACGTTGCTACCTACCGCCATTTTTTCCACCCTGAGCAGCTAATAAGCGGTAAGGTGGATGTCGCAAACAACTATACGACCATCCATAGAGTTGAAATTGCGTGCTAAGGCCGCGAACGCCGCGAACGTTTGCTACGGCTTCGGACTCAAGAACCACAGCCTGTGCCGATACGAAGCGTCCGAAATCGCTGGAGTCTAAAGTATCTCATGATTCAGCGTGAGAGGCGAGTACTAACTAGTTACTATTATGTAGATTATAAGAGATCTTCAACACACCCACGATCATAGTCATATAGATCGTTTAAAAATTTGCCCCCTAGTTATAGTCCTTTCCGCGAAAAAAAAAAAAAAAAAAAAGGAAGTTTTCATAGTACAAAATCACTGTAAATATCACTCCGAAATATACCAATTAGCAGCCCCTAGCTTTAAGCTAATTTACTCGATAAGGCGACGGAAGGCCGTAGGCCGGCGCTCCTAATGGCTTTACGAAGCTATTTTCCGCTTGCTGCTAGGTAGAAATGTACTCGAACGTAATCAAGCTAGAAGAAACTTCTTGTCTTAGAAAGTAGTACCGTACTACAACATATTTTATTCTTGTTTCTTCATCCCATCAATATATAGTATTGAAATATTTACATTTAGCAGTATGCACTTTTAAAATCTACTTTTCATTGCATTGACAACATCCGTAATGATTATCATATTCCAATTGCACTTCGCCTCGAAAAATGTTGAAACGTGAGAGATCACCTTTGAGTTATTTGCTGCAGCTCGTGGGACTGCAGCGACTCTGACACTGGGTCATTTGACTTTCTATTAGTCGAGCCTTCAAGGGACCTTTTGTTAACCATTAAGCTAGCTAGAAGCCCTACCGCGGCAACGCAGATATACAAAATCCACATGGAACGAAGACTAGCGACATACGCTCCGCGGACTGCATTGCGCTGGTGGACGGGAAGTGATGCGATCAGGCCTACATTGGCTTCCGCGCTAGACCCGTCAAAATGTGCTGCCGTCTCATCTCCAAGGACACTTGTAAGTGTTGTGGCATGAGTTTGCATGCTATGCTGGAAGATCACTCCTCCGATGACAACAGAAAGAGAGGTGGCGATATTGCGAGTGAACCCAAAAGTTGCAGTCGCGGTCGCAAAATCGCTCGGGGCAACGTGGGATTGCAGCGCGATCAGAGGCGACTGGAAATTCATGCCTACGCCAAACCCAGCGACAGCCTCAATCACTACAATTTTGACTATCGACATCTGATCGTCGAAAATAATGAATAAACCGAAACCTAGTGTCAATACGGCCATTCCGGTCCAGATGGGCTCGCAAAAGTGGCCTGTGGGAGAGGGTAAGCGGGAAATTCAGTACGGAACAGAGTATTTGTCTCTTACCAGTGTGTTTTATGACGAACCCTGTGGCAATCCCTGTAAGACATTGAACGATAGCGATGGGAAGAATCAAAACTCCCGACATCAGGATCGATGTTCCCTTAACAGCCTGGAAGAAAAGAGGAAGGAAATAGAAGGCGGAGATATAGACCTGAATGATTCAACCCATCTAATCAATTGCTGACATCATGAGATAATTGACCCGAAAAACTCACAAAACCATGGCAAAAGCAAACCAACAATGATGCCACATTTGAACGATGCTTGAAAAGACGCATTGGCATTATGGGAAACCGGGCGTATTTCGCTTCACTAAGCACGAACAAGGGGATCGTGATAACTCCAAATACAATGAGACATAAGACCGTAGGCGACTTCCACGGAAAAGTTTCTCCTCCAAAATTCAGGCCCAGGAGAAGCATCAAAGTGACCCCTAAAATGGTGACAATTCCAAGCCAGTCAAGTCTTTCAGGCCAGATCGGAAGGATAGTCGGTTTGCTCCAGCGTCAACGTTGAGAAGCCAGATCAGCATGACAAACGCCAATGCACTGCAAGGCAGGTTGATCCACCAATTCCACCTCCATGAGACGAGTTGAGTGAACACTCCGCCTAGGACCGGACCGATACCACTGGCCAGTGCCCAGACCACACTGGTTAGTCCCAGGTACATGCTCCTGCGTCTTTGTTACTGTTAGCGAAGCCCAGTAGTCACATCGGAGGTAATCGCCTGCGATATACCTTATATCAAACATATCTGTGATGCAGATATTGACGAGGATAACGACGCCTCCGGATCCGCTTCCTTGGATCGCACGGCCACTGAGAAACATCGGCATATTGATTGATACTGCACAGAGGAGAGAACCGATAAAAAAGACCGCGACCGCAGTAAGCAGCATTGCTTTGCGTCCCCAGATATCGCTCAGCTTCCCCCATACTGGACTGGAAGTTGCATTTGCCAAGAGATAGGCAGAGCCGATCCAGGTGTAGCCTGAACCCGATCGGAAGTCTGCGACGATAGTGGGAATGGCGGGACTGGTGATTGTCTTGGAGCAGACTCGTCAGCTTAAATGACTTCGTCTTCGGGTTATCGAAAAAAACGTACAAAATCAAGAGCCGCCGTGAATAATGATAGCTAAGAAATGAACGTCAGCCGGTATGGCTGCTTCTACTGGGACTCCACCGGATCATACAAAGAGGCAGATGATCACGACTAGCATCCGCGGCCGGCTGAGTGTTGGGGGCCCAGCTGACGCCCTTGTTGTGAGACCACTCTCGCTATTCTCCGTCGTTGACACCATCTTGTACTAATCCAGTATATTAGCAATACTTGTTCAGTAGGAGGGTTCCATTAGGGGGGGAAAAGAAAGAGGTCCACAAGTCGACTGGGCACGGGGGAAAACCCCCTACTATTCTTACGGAGCGGGATAGTACTCCGTACGGAAGCCGCTTGCAGGGGATCTACTTATCTTGCATCTACTAGTACCTAACACATGCGGTGATAACAAGGGTAATCCTGATAAGAAATATGGTCAAAATGGGATCAGAGCTGCGGACATATATTCATCGCTAAGAGAAATCGGCGGTAGCCAGTGTCCCCCCCTTCTGGGAGGATATTTATATGTACTCCGTACCAATATTGTAAATCCACCTAGCATTCGTCTATCCCTCCTCAGAACCTCAGAAGCGCCCACAATTTCAATCTCACCAATTCCCATCATGTCAGCGATCTCTGCCAACGGTGTATCCCAGTTACACTTTATTGACGATCTAATAACGCTACGTAGGGGCGAAAAGGAGCAGCCGGACATTTTGGCCTGTACCAGTGGCACAACTATAGACCGCTACGAATACTTCACGGCCAAGAGACTAGATAATCTGATCAACAATACGGCTTATGTTCTTAAACAATAAGGCCTTTCTATTACGGGAATTAGCCCTACGACCAATAAATGCTCGGTACCTTGGTTTTCCCTTGCTATCCCTTGAATAAAAAGTGGTGATTAATATCTTGACTGAGAATCGTACCATAAAGGGAGAGGAGCCGCGCTATGTTGCAGTCCTTGGCACATCAAACCTAGAATATTTGACGAATATCTGTGCTCTCAGTCGACTCGGATATAGTGTTTTGATTCTTTTCCCAAGGCTATCTGTGCCGGCATATAACAATCTGCTCGATGAAACCAAATGCTCAACTCTTGTGTATATGCAAGAGTATAGTAAAATCGTGGAGCGACTGTGCGAAGTACGCCAATCACAGCTGGCAACCACACCGATGCTTCAAAAACAAGACTTCGATCGAGATGGTATCCCTGAAGCAAGAATAAAGCGGACTGCATTGAATGCTGGGCTTGCAAGTCCACACACTGCCTTTGTGATGCATGTCTATAGGCGTACCGAAGCCTATTTTCGATTCGCACCAACGACAGAGCTACTTTATAAGAGAGGGATCCTTAGGAGCTAGTTAAGCTATATTACCGGTAAGGATGTCGAAAAGACCGGCACCGAGAGCGTATTTAAGTGCGATAGACCACGATATAAAGTTAGATTCACCGGTAAGGGTAGGGACGAGCTCTAATAGCTTTAGCTCCACGAAGCTAGTTACTAGAAACATTTTAAGGATACGTCGAAGGGGAGGAACTTTAGATAGGATAATAGCACTTGATAAGGGCTAAATCCTTTACACGTTTGTAGTGACCGTTAAGAGAGAAGGGCACGTCTATTGAGACCGTTTGGTAGTATTAGGACTAGGCAGGTATTTATATATGGCGAGAGAGGCGCTAGTGACGATGGCGATAATAATAACGACGATGATAGAGGGGCGGATAGAGGATGAAAGCTGATGATGATGAGGAAGGTTAAATAGAGTTTCTGAGGGCTCATAACCTGTTAGGAGAGGTCCAAGTGGTGGACGTCAAAGTGCATGGTGCAATGTGAGGTCGATTGAGTAGAGATTTGTAGAAGCCAAGATACAGATAGACTATAAATGTGACAAGTCGTTGGTTTGATCACTGCTATATATAAACAACATTGATAGATGGATCACTCTGGTTATATATATCATCCATCATCTTCGTCAAAGCAATGGCAAACCGCGCGGGACTTTCTTCGCTCGGCGGTAATTCAACCACGACGACGTCGAGGATGGAACAGAAGAGCTTCTATACCAGTTGTAATATGCGTATGAGGGAGGCTCAGGGTCGGGGAGGACCGGCCTTGCATGATTGAAACGTCGAAATGCTTCTAATATAGCTCATTCAACGCTCATGTAACTTGGTGAGAATGTTCACTCTTCTATTAGTATTAGAACAACCTGACTTTACTTGTAGTTCAACTACCCCTTATCTGATGGTCTCTTCTCCATGCTCTCTCTCTCTCTTCTTTCTTTTTCACTGTCTCCTTCCTCTCCATTTTCTCCATCACCACATCTCTCTTCTCCCATCCTCCCCACAACTACCTCCAAACACATCTCTCATACAATTCTGAGGTATTTCCCTTCTCGGCCATAAATATTTGGGTGAACTCGACTGATACAGAGGTATTACTAGGTTAGCCTAAGATCCCAACAACATGGCGGCAAACCTGACTCCAATCGCGACTTTCGAAAGTCCATTCCCAAGGCATTTCTATGGTGAGGCAACCACCCTTCTATCCCAACCAGAAGTAACAAAACCTAACTCAGTCGCACATCACTAGATGGATTCTCCATCGAGACCCTGGGTGACCGGTTTATCGCCCTTGCCCAGAACGATGAAACAACCTTTCTCATCGTCCGTGGTATCGACTGGGACCACGCGGTACGAATCCCATTCGCAACACTCGTGAACCCATTTATTGAATATGGTCTCCCGATGTCTTCAGCTCGATTCGTCGAGATTTTGGCCTTGTCCGGGGGAGTATCGTCCGACGAGATCTCACGGACAGTTGCATTCGTCTACATCCACTGGCTGGACACCTCATTGGAGGTCCGCCCAGGCCATGACAATGATATCGAGCAAGCAATGCGGTGTCTGGAACGCGTCTGGGAGACCCAGGCTGGAGGAGATATTCTCCAGGAGCTCAACGTGGAGGTCATCCTGACATAATCTGGCGAAGTTATGTCTCTTAGGAATCTCATTTTCAACATCTTTATCTTGATCACCCATTGTATATAAATAGCAGCCGTATGACTCAAATATTCCTCCTTTATTCTTATGTCTTCGACCCTTTTTGTTGAGATGATGCGCAACGGTTGGGGAAGTCTGACACTATTCCGCGAAAATATGCGACTATACTAGCTTGGGTTATATATTGTAGGTGGATCTAAATGTCGACGATATGATCTGACCCATTTTGAGCCTCTTGAAATTCCGTCGCACACACAACTTTCTCACCCTAAAACTTCCAATTGATTCTAAATGATTGTATTCTATAATTCTCTCCAACACATAACGTCATACATACGACCACAGGGTGTGGAAAACAGGGCTTCCCGTCCGCTCAGCCGTACTTAAGCCACACGCCGGTGAGTTAGTAGTTGGGTGGGTGACCACCAGCGAATCCTCACTGTTGTATGTTTTTGTTTTTTTATTTTTGTTATACTTTTACTAGTAGCTCAACGTAGAGAGAGGTACAATAAACAGTCTACCTTATAAAGATTCACCCACCTCTACTCAATTTTACTAGTGCATAATTAGCGTAGTATTTTATATTGTATTTTTACACCAGTAGCCCCGAGGTGGATTCTTTAGCGCGTTCTTTGGGTTAACCCTTCTGTCACCACCAACACACCATTACTTTGATTTTAATGAACCAAGTCTCTAATATTTATATATCCCCTCTCATGCTTTCTTTTAGGATATCTCTTCGGCAAGTTTATATCCCTATTCCACCTTAATCATCCCTCAATCTCATCGCTTTACTACCACAACCCTATCGTCTCGGGGACCCTCTCAACGTTACTTTTATATATTCATCAGATATTAAACAAAGAGTCTGACTAGGTGGCTTTTGCAAGCAAAATCATGATCTACCAGACTCCCTTTCCTTATGAGTTCTACAGTAAGACAGCCACCCCTAGTGAAAATCCCAATCCACGCTATCTTAAATCTGGTGTTCGCCCACTACGTCCTTATAGTAACAAAGGCAAGCAGAGCGTATGATAAGGTCGAACTTCTCAGGAGCAAGTTTCTGAAATTGCCACCCTTTGTGAAGCTTGGGGAGGGACTGGCCTTCCATATGAATCAAGAGTGCGGAATGAGAGACAAAGCTGGGTGCTGGAAACTCGACTTCGGCTCTAATGGGAACTAGCTACGACTGATCTCAACTCATTTTTTAGGATGATTCGTGAATACTCGAAAAGTCAATACGGTTCCCCCTTTTTTTCATTTCATACCAATAATTGAAGAGCCATTCTCTATAGCGAACGGCTTGGGATATATATATTGGTTGTTGGCGCTGCCGTGTGCTATCCCACATGTATAGGTTCTCTATTGACACCAATGCAAAAATACCCCCTCACTCAACCGCGCCAAAATAAATAAGCACAGCACACTAACTGCATCTATCTCCATAAAAGTAAAAAAGATGGCCAAAAAACAAAAAAAAACATACAACAGTGAGGATTCGCTGGTGGTCACCCACCCAACTACTAACTCACCGGCGTGTGGCTTAAGTACGGCTGAGCGGACGGGAAGCCCTGTTTTCCACACCCTGTGGTCGTATGTACAGTGTTTTGTGTCTGAGAGAATTATCAAGTGCAATTGATTGGGCTGTTGAAAGGAGAGCGTCGCGCGCGATTGGGGGTGCACTGTAGAGAGGGTGATAATACCGAGCACTAGGCAGAAATCACATTGCTTCAACATACACCAACGGAATGACAATTTTTGTACCATTGAAGCACTCGCCCTAGGCCATACCTCACTTAATATCACTCTGTTATAACAAAGAGTGTCTGGAAAAAGCGCGCACTATGATATATTTTTCACCTTGATCTAGGTAGAATTAAGTGGGAGTGGCATCTTCTCTCTCTAGGGTGAGAAGTAGACCGAGTATGTTGGAGACCTTTTAGATAATAGTAGCGGCTATAACCCTTAAAACACTTTGTATACAGCCACCTGATACCACATTTGGGTTACAGCAACAATATTTGGGCTTTTCCCAAGTCTTTCCTAAACCCTGATACATTAACACTAGAGTCAATCAACTTTACTCTTGAAGTTAGATCAATACATTAACTAGTTAGTTATACGAGGATATATCAGTCAATTATTAATCAATCGATCATTCAAAGGTCTCTCGTATAAAGTATGTTCTGTTTACCGCCTTTGCATACACCTAAAAAAGACATCCAAAAGAGATCTAAGAAGACCACCAAAAAAATATGAGAAGGTCGCATAGGTGTCCGAATATTCTTGTATAGCGTAAATACGGTCGTATTTTTATAAGGTATACAACATAGTATGAGCTCTGGAGGGTCAAATTAAAATACAGAGCGCGTGGTCGGACCGGGCGGACCGTTCGGACCGGCCCGCCCGCGTATTTCCGCTCATCCTTTCCAACCTTGGAAGTTTTCGGTTGCTTAGCTAACCTAATCTTAGAAAGTCTTCCAAGATTCAGTGCCCATTCATGGAGATCTTAGTAATCTTGTCACGCCAATGTTCAACAGGGTGCACAACCTTGACACCGCTCGCCTCTAGCCTCTCCTGCCCGTCATTGTGCGCGATAAATGTCCCTGGCTCTTTGATTCCCACGTAGACATTCTTTATGGCGTTCTTGAGTCTTAAGATTCTGGTTGTGCAGGTCATGTTACCACTAAGTCTCTCATTGCATGGCTCCATCGTCGTGTACAGGGCCGTGTTGACCGGAAGAACCTCATGGATGCGTTCCTCAGGGAGGTTGTGTTCGTCGGCGATCTTGATAAAACAACACTGCTCTGCATGGGTGGTGCCTGGATCTCCTTTGTAATCTCGCGGATATTCAAGCGAGTACCCTGTTGATAAGACCTTGCCGTTATCGGCATCGACAAGTACAGCACCGACGCAGAATTTGTTCTCGCCGGGCGGTGACTTTTGTGCCTGGATGAGAGCGAAATCCATGAAAGCCTCATGGTCCCCAACCGGGAAGATTGGATTTGTCTGGGAAGTCATGGTAGATGTCTTTCTGAAATAATACACAGTGCGCAGATATTCCTTTCTTGGACCAAATCAACAAAACCTTAAGAAAAGGAAAAAAAAAGGTGCGGGTGCTTAAAACCTTGTGTTATTTTCTAAGACAAATAACTAGTTACGTGGCGGTCTTTTCTTAGCGGCTAAATCAGCGACCTGATTCGTGATTTGAAGCTTGGGGTGGGGATGGTGGTGAGGGGGTATTGGGCGCTTCACTACCAGAGCATACATACGTGCTTCGAGCCCAAGGCGTGAAACGTCAACAATTTCTCCCGAGAGAACTATATTATAAGATTGTTTCATTATTCTCCGAAATTACAGACCGTCGTGCCGACACCACCTTGCCAATTCCGGACAACCGTGATTGGCGCCGCCCTCCTACTAAGTTGTGGGCTACAATGGTTCACTCTCCGCCCCTTGGCCTTCCGGAAACCCCAATCCAACCTGATTGCTGACTTTTGGCAGTTATTTCGGAGGCAGCGGCGCGCAAACCCAGAACTACCCCCAGACAGCTCTTCAAGTAGCCGTGAATCAACCAGGAGCCCGAGGAGCCTGTTCTCTCTGCCAAAAACCCTGTCTAGGAGGGCATCAACCAGCTCGGGCGACCAATCGGAGGATGTAAAGGGACCTGTTGGATTGAACCTCCTGCACTCCCCACCGACGCCAGAGATCGACTTCATCTTTATTCATGGTCTAGGCGGCAATTCTAGGAAAACATGGAGCAAGTCGGCCCTACAATCTCACTTCTGGCCAAAGGAGTGGCTCTCCAAAGATCCCGCATTCAAAAACGTACGTATCCATAGCTATGGATATGACTCGCACTACCTGAAGGGCAAGGAGGACTGCTTGAATGTACACCACTTTGGCAAGTCATTCCTAGGGGCGCTCAGCACTTCGCCATACATTATGAATTCCAGCACAGACATCGTTGTCATCGGCCACAGCATGGGTGGCTTGGTGATGAAGAAGGCATATATCCTGGCGAGACAAGACCCAACGCACAATACGCTGGCTGGGCGAATTACCGCGTTTTATTTCCTCGCTACACCGCATCGAGGTTCCCACTTAGCAAAGATGCTGAAAAACCTTCTCAAGGTTGCGTACGACCGTGCTTATGTTGGCGATCTGGAACCGAACTCTGGGGCGATCCAAGTGATTAACGACGAATTCCGGCATTTTTCGGCCGAGCTTGAGCTATGGTCGTTCTACGAAACACAGGATATGAGGATATTAAACTCACTCATCGTCGATCCTGAGTCGGGCGTCCTCGGGTATCGTGAGGAGAAGCAGATACCCATGGCTGCTGACCACCGTTCAATATGCAAATTTGACACACCTGAGGACCCCAACTACGCTCTCCTACGAAACTCGCTCGCCTCTACTGTGAACAGAACCGCAACGGCGATTCTGGATCTTAAGTTGAAGCACAGTCGTGAGAGGATTAAAAACCTCAAGAAGTACCTGGAAATTTCCGGCTCTTTGGATGACGATTTTGCAAACGTCTGCGAAGCTCGGACGCACGGGTCATGCGGATGGATTTCGGCTAAAACCAGTTACGTCAAATGGAGAGATGGAGAATGCGGAAATGATAGGACGCTATGGATACAAGGCAAACCAGCAACTGGAAAATCAGTTCTTGCTGGCTATGTCATCGATCAGCTCAGGGAGTCAGGACAGGCCTGCAGTTACTTTTTCTTTAAGCATGGAGACAAGTCAAAGTCCAACCTAGGTGGTTGTCTCCGATCTCTGGCTTTTCAGATGGCTAGCTCCAACTCCGAAGCTGCTGATGCTATCCTAGGGATGCAAGCAGATGGTGTTTGCTTAGACCGTGCTGAGGGCCGTACCATCTGGAGAACCCTCTTCCTTTCTGGAATTTTCAAGGCAGCAATTGCTCGGCATTACTGGGTTATCGATGCCCTGGATGAGTGTTTGAATCCGCCGGTCCTTTTGCACGCCATATTTTCCAACATGAACGAATCTATACCCCTGAGAATTCTCATCACAAGTCGGGATACGGTCGGTCTAGATCAAGGTTTCTCGGCCATTCCACCGAGTCTAGTCCAGTCGTTACCAATTTCGACGAAAGACACAGAGTCAGACATCAGGCTTTTGATTGATAAGAGGACCCAGGTATTAAAAATTGTGGGACCTGATGATCGAGGTACATTGGCGGAGAAGATTCTAGTTAAATCTAAGGGGTCCTTCTTGTGGACAATCTTGGTACTCGAGGAACTCCTGCGCTGCCACAGCAGAAAGGAAATCCATCAGATTCTTGAAAGCGTACCGAGAGGCATGGAGCCACTATACAAGCGGACTTTAGACTATATGTCACAGGCGCCTCGAGGAAAGGAGTTGACAAAGACCATTCTCATGTGGGCCGCATGCGCGGTTCGACCATTGACAATCGGCGAGCTGGACGGAGCTCTATCCCTGGACACCCGCGACTCATTCCCAATATTGGAGGAAAGCATCGCGGCGCTCTGCGGCCAACTGGTGGTAGTGGACAAATATGGGAGAGTTAACATGGTGCATGAAACTGCCAGAGAATTCCTTGTAGCCGGCGGATATGCGACAGAGTTCTCCATCGACAAAACTCAGGCTCACACACGGATGGCTCAGGTGTGTCTCAATTACCTTGTCGGGGAGCAAATGAAACCTCCGAGGAACAGTCGACACCGCTATTCGACAAATTTGCCAGCAAGAAGACTGGATTTTGCCGCGTATGCATGTACAGCATACTCATATCACCTCTCGAGGGCAGATCCATCGGTCACACAGACGTTCCAGCTTGTTGTTCAGTTCCTGAAGTCCAACGTCCTCTCTTGGATTGAAATGATTGCTGATTATCGAAATCTTAACCAGCTTATCCGTGCCTCTAGACATCTCAAAATCTACGCCAATGCATGCGCCGTTGAGCGGTCACCGCAAGACCCTCGGATACAAACTCTACGACAGTGGACCACAGACCTCGCTCGAATTCCTGCCATGTTTGCCAACGCCCTCACGATATCACCATCGGCAATACACTCATTGATACCCCCATTCTGTCCCACCGAGTCTACGATCTTCAACACCGGCGGCTCCAGCCGGAGACTTGAAGTGCTTGGCGCGCATAACAAGCAATGGAATGATAGATTATTGTGCATCAATTTTAGTCAGGGTCAACCAAGGGCTTTGCGCTATGGAGACGAGTTCCTGGCTGTAGGTCTCAGTTCGGGAACTGTAGTATTGTACTATGCCACATCCTACCAGGAGTGCAAGATCTTGGAGCACGGCGAAGCAGTCAGGTTCATTGCTTTCAAACCCAAAACTGACTTGGTAGCAACGTGTGGTATGAAGTTGGTCAAGGTCTGGAACATCAGAAGTGGGCAGGTGGTGCACTGCTTAGCGAGCCCTCCACGTCCGCTGTGGATGGAATTCGATGGAGGGAGATTGCTAATTGCGAGTGGCAATAACTACGTTGCAACTTGGGATTTGGGAGACAACGCCCAACCGGAGTCAGTGCGGAGGCCATGGTACGATACCGATACGCCAGAGAAAGATGGAACTCAGCGTGGGACCCCGTGTGCACTGGCTCTCTCTACGAGCCACAAACTTCTTGCTGTCGCCTATAACGGCCAGCCCATTACGCTATGGGACATGGAAGAGGAAACCTACGCTGGTAGCTGTGGAAATGAACTTTCCAGCGGAGAGGCTAGCAGTCATGTCGTGGTCGCGCTTGCTTTTAACCCCAATCCTGATGTTAGCCTTCTTGCAGTCGCATACCTTGATGGTAAACTTGCACTCCTTGACCCCTTTTCCGATCAGGAGTTGGAATGTTTTCGTGCGAACTGCCAAGTCCTCGCCGCAAGCCCGGATGGACGTCTTCTCGCAGCGGGTGGTGCGAATGGGATTATCCACGTTTACGAATTCGATACGCTCAAGCTCCTCTATCAGGTGAAGTCATCTAACTCTTACATAAAGCAGCTTGCATTTACTAGAGACAGTATGCTTCTTGCCGATATACGAGGCACCCAGTGCACTGTCTGGGAACCCGAAGCTTTGTTACGAGAGTCCATGAGCGATGATAGTAGCGGGGCCACTTTTGTTACAGAACACGAGGCGGTTTCTATGGAAGCCAAAGCAAAGATTATTGCCATGGTGGTCCATCATACATCGGAAGTTATCTTTTGCGGAAAGGATGATGGATCAGTCGTACTATACGAACGGAAAACGGCTGCGAGCTTAGGGGCTCTCTACAGCCACAAGTCATCAGTTCGTCTGTTGGCCTGGATTGAACAGAGAGACGCCCTCTTAAGCGTCGATGCATCCAACAGGATCTTTGTACACAGAATCCGTCAGTCAGCAGACAAAGGTTGGCTCGGCGATATGACTCTACTGTTCAAGTCCCACCTCGATTCCGACAAGGCAATTATAGATGTCCTAGTAGGAGAAATTGCGGCGAAGATTTTGGTATCGACTCGCGAGTCTGATCACCTGTTCAACTTGGACAGCGGTAAGCAGGAGAGAGAGCGGACATATCCACAACTACCAGAAATTCGCAAATGGATCTCCCATCCAGAATCCTCTCTACACCTTGTCTGTATCAACAACTTCAAAGTCTACACCTACCGCTGGAGTGACTGGTCTGAAGTTTCATCTATTGCATTGACGCTGGACGAGACGGCAGAGCTCAAAAGCGCGATCCACTGTTCATTTGGCCAAAAACAAAAAATCCTGCTCGACCTTTCATGTCCGGATAAGTCCGTCAAAACTAATAGGATTACGGTACTTGACGGAGAGTACCTTTCCGTCGGAAACAATGATAGCAGCTTCTTGCTGGGCAACCAATCGGACGCTGTGGTGGTGTTGGATAAACATACCACAGATCAAGACGGGGAGAACATGCTGGTGGAACCGAGTCCAGGCCCTTCGCTTTGTTCAAGGATAATGGCATTTGAACTAAGCGCTGCCCATGTCATTGGAATTGATGAATCGGGGAAACTCATATTCTTGAACCGGTCTTTTTGGGTGTGCTCTATTGACCTCAGCAAGCTAGAGATTGCACTACCCATGAATTCCCTGACACTTGACGTCTTTGAGCACTTTTTCATCCCATGCGATTGGTTTGCTGGGAGAAAAGACATTATTTGTGCTTTGGCAAAGAGAGATATTATATTGACCCGGGGTGGGGACCTGGCGGTGATTAGGGGCGGTCTTGACTATTCTAAGAGAGTGTCTATAGAGTAATAGGTTTTAAACTTAACGAACGTATTCACACATAAAACCTAGATGTGCTCTCTACTTATAAGTATGTGATAACTAGGGGAGACTGTCTACATAGTCAAATTTCCGTGGGATGGGACAAGATCTCAATACAATATCGATCTTCCATTATGCACCCACCCTAGCTCCCTCAATGGTACGAAGTGGGATCTAGACTTCATGTAGACCATGTAGACCAATAGCGAACCCATCCGTGGGCTCTCCCGAGTACCAGGGGGAAGGTGAGGCCGTGAGGGTGACGATGTCCATCAATGGCAACGAAATAGTTAGTAATCAGTGAGATTACAAGGCGTAGACCAAAAAAATAGAACAAAAACATACAACAGTGAGGATTCGCTGGTGGTCACCCACCCAACTACTAACTCACCGGCGTGTGGCTTGAGTACGGCTGAGCGGACGGGAAGCCCTATTTTCCACACCCTATGGTCGTATGTATTTAATTAGACTATGAAGAAGTATGTATATACAGAATAGTTTATACAACTGGGGGTAGAAACGGCCCGGACCGCGATAGAGTGAGGTTCTAGTATGAGTTTTATTAGGATAGGTGTCACCTAACCCTATATAATAAGACTACAGTCTCCTCTCCCTCTTCTCCTTAGTAGTTAGCAGTTAGCACTTACGAATATAGTTGAATTGCTCTCTCTCTCTTCTCCTAGCTTCCCATCAAGTTTCAAGGGAATATCTATCGGAAATAGACTCGATTAATATAATCGAAAATAAAAAAGAACAAAAAACATACAACAGTGAGGATTCGCTGGTGGTCACCCACCCAACTACTAACTCACCGGCGTGTGGCTTAAGTACGGCTGAGCGGACGGGAAGCCCTGTTTTCCACACCCTGTGGTCGTATGTATTAGTTTATTTATAGGGAAGAATTATAGTATGTAAATAAACTGGCTTGTTGAACGGAGAGCGTTGCGTGGTAATGTCCCTCGATGGCTCCGACGGCTAGCGAGTACCTCCCAGGTGATGCTCGTAACTTGTGTATCGAGATCGACGAGGTGTATTGTTCTTGGCTTAAAATAGTACCAATGAAAGTTTTGGTTGAGAAATAATTCTGGTAATATGTCAATATCCCCGGCGCCATATGCATATGCGAATCAATCGGACATCTCGTATCGGCCGGCTGAAAGGAAAGTGGATCACCAAACAGAATCCACGTGCAAACCAGATCTCAACTTTCTTACCGATCTTGATAGTTGATACATACGGCAGACGGGTTCACTAAGCCGAGGTAACTATATCCGAGGAAAAATGGCAGATAAGTTTATATTCTCATTTATTCATATACTATATAACAAAAGTACTTAATTTTAGATCATCCTCTGTTTATCACCTACCATATCTTTTCCGCGCGTCAACGGTGTCTTTAAACACATCGGTCAATCCAACTATCGGCCACAACCATGGCGACCACTTTAGCTGGACATATATCGCTGCAAGAGTTACATGATCATTATGTTTCCACCCACCTTCCCCAAAAGATGGGGAATTCAGCACCCATCGCGTACGGAGGCTACGCTATCGCTCTCGCGATACACGCTGCGTATAAAACCACCCCAGATGGATTCCACTTGCACTCGGCGCTTGGACATTACCTCCGACCAGTAAGCACTGAAATCAATTTGATATGCACGCCAGTCAAACTCCGCCAATCGAAGAGTTTCGTGACCTACCGTGTTGCCGTCGAACAAAACGGCCCCTCGACTGGCCAACCGCACTTATGTATGGAGCTCCTAGCCGACTTCCACAGGGACGAGCCGTCCGTCCTCGCATTCTCGAGTAAACCCACTCGGAGTTACAGTCACTGGCGGGATTGTGTGCCCTGGGACCGCCTTGTGGAGGACTGGGTCAAAGCCGAGAAAATATCAGAGCCGCATTCCAGGGCTTTCAACACTCTATTCGGACTATCCCGGGGCCTTTACGAAGGTCGCCCATGTCCGGAAGGAGTCACGGCTCAGAATCTTATGGGGATGGCCAAGACCATCAAAACCAGCCAAGAGGAATTGTCCCCGACAGAAAAGTCGTCAGCGGACTGGTTTCGAGTCAAACATCCTCTGCGGACAGAAGGGGAACAAATAGCCAGCTTGGGGTTCATCATGGATGCTATTTTGTCGTTTTTACCGTTGGCTCACAACCACATGTTCTTCGACGACGTTGGCGTGTGTTCGAGCTTGGATTTTGCTCTGCGGATCTTTACGCCGCGACCCAAATTGGATGAGTGGCACTTGAGGGAAGTACTCAATCACCATGCTGGCAACGGCCGCACATACAGTGAGAGTAAATTGTGGGATGAGGGAGGGAACTTAGTGGCTTCTATGACACAGCAGTCGATTTTGCGAGTTCCTGCCAAAGCCTCAAGGATGTAAAGTTATTATTTCGCCTTAGATTTTCTGTTTGCTCTATAGAATATGAGATGTTGTAATAGGTTCCTAGTTATTCATTCAACAACCCAATTAATTATACTCTATCATTCTCTTCGATACATATATATTCTGATACATACGGTAGGGTGTGGAAATAAAGTATTATTTTTATATACCTTACGTATATACGAAATAATAAAAAATACTATATAGAAGCCACGTTTTTACAATTTTATAGGTTTTAATAGGTTTAATAGGGGTCTATAGAATGGGTTGGGTTGGGTTTTAGGTTTTATGTACTAGTATTACTCATCCGACCTAGAACCCTTGGAACCTTCCAAGGAAGCTAGCATTTCCTCTGAAGGTAAGGAGCTCTGTGTCTCACGGACTCTTATCATAGGTATCAGGTCAAAGTCGAGCTGAAAGACTGAATCTGTCAACTTGGATCTAACGTTAGAACGAAAAAAAAAAAAAACACTGACATCAGTTGACTCCCAAAGTGTTCATCCACCACACCATGGCCATACCCGATCCTACGACGACGGCAAAAGCTGAAGCGGACTACTTCCCACCTGATGTCCCGGTAGCGCATCTCCACACCATCAACCTGGGTAAGCTCCAAGCCAACGACGCAGCAGAGGTGCAACAGCTCTTCGAGGCGAGTCGGACGACGGGCGTATTCTACCTCGATCTGCGCTCGGGAGAGTCAGATATTCTTCCGGTCCTGGAGGACATTGGCTTGGTGTCGAAGGACCTTTTCGAGCTACCGCTTGAGGAAAAATGCGCTTACGACGTTGATAAGCTGACGAGTCAGAAGTGTAACGGGTATAACTCCATCCATCCATCCCTCTGAACACTGTCACTGAGTCAATGACCCTAGATACAAGCCTATAGGGCGGAACTACGGTGGACTCGCGCGGCAACGCGATGGATTTGAGACCTATGTGGTAATAACCCATCATCCACTCACTACCTTACGCTAGAATTTCCTTCAACGGCGCTAACGAACAGATCCACAGATCCCTAAAAATGGCATCCTAGGTCTAAAGAACCAAGCCGATTTTCCCCGTCCCCCGGTTATCAACGCGGCACTCCCAACCCTGCGCGCCCTCACAACCGCCGTCAACAGTGCAACGCAGACCATAACTCACCATCTCTCGCAAGCCCTTGCCCTACCCCCAGCCCACAACCTCAAGCACAAGCACGAAATAACCATGCCTTCCCCGGATATCATCCGGCTGCTCAAATACCAACCGCAGCCGGCCTCAGAGCAACTTCTTATCCCGCACGCGGCGCACACGGACATGGGGTCGCTGACATTCCTCTTCACGCGCCAACCGGGGCTGCAGATCCAATGTCCCGGGGAAGGAGAAGAGAAAGGGGACTGGGAATGGGTGCGACCACCACCCGATTGCCACGCCATTGTCAACCTGGGCGATAGTCTCTCGCTGCTAACGAACGGGATGTTGCGATCTTGTGTGCATCGTGTCGGGCAGTTACCGAACCGGGCTATGCCGACGCGGTATTCCTTTGCGTATATGGTGCGGCCGGCGGATGGCACAGTCATGTGTGCACCGCAGACGGGGCAGATTCCGGCGGCAGAGCCCGGGGCGCCTGTTTTGACGTGCGAGGAGTGGATGGAGCGGAAGTATTCGGTTTTGAGGTTGGAGGAGAGGCCGCAGGGGTTGGAGTGGATGATGACTGGGCAGCACAACAGCGGGGCAGCCTAGTCCTAAAAGGGCCTAGCCTCGACGCTATAATCTCTTCATTTGAGTAATCTCCTTTAGGACCAGCCTGTTCCCTTTTGTACCGAGATGCTTACGGAGCGGCTCCATGAGCGCACACTTTTTAGCGGATAGAGGTTTATCCTATTTTGGCGTACAAAATGGCTCTTTACGCACGCATATAGGCAATGAAAGTCGGAAGCACAGTAGACCATAGAGATAAATGCTCAATAGAACTTGATTCACTTATATAATGCCAGACTGAGATAACTATGTCAGTTGGTGATGAGGAAGGTCATTTCTGATGTGAGGCATTACCCCATCAGGTTCCCGGGGTTGGGTTGTTGGGTTGCTGCAGCGACGCTTGATCGTGCCCATTTATTTCAACTCCTGCCAAAACCAACCTCGTCAAATGTCGGTACTTCTGAAGTTCTCTGTTGAGAGATCAGCCCTGTTCTACCGTTGAGGGCTCCTACACAGCACTGCTATGACAAGGTACACTCCAATATTACACAGGGGGTGAGTCACTTGTTTCTATCATATATAGTAGTTTCAGTGGAGTATAGAGTGCTCTTCCATTCAGGAGGTGTTGCAACCCTTATCTCCAACAATCTATTTCTTTCGCTTCTACTAGGCGTATGCCCTTCACATCCCACACCGCATCTTCCAAAGGTCTCAAATTAGGCTACAGTACTTATACATTGACAAATGAATGATAATCAAAAATGTACTCTCCCGGTATCAGAAAGTTGGCCCGGGGCCTAATAATCAAACCCTGACTAAGATGTCAAGCTAGAAGCCGAAGCCCCCATCAATGGTATATTTCTGCATGACTAAATTGCAGAATCAATAGACCGAGGACTCAGCAGAGGAACGACCAAGACGTTCAGTTCTGGTTCTTGCAGGCGGCATTCTCAGCAGCACACTGAGACATGTTGGCGTCGGGGGCAGTGCGGCAGTCGTCGTAGGCATTCGAGCAGCAGGCGGCCTTATTGGCAGAACACAGAGACATGTTGGCGTCGGGAGCAGTGCGGCAGTCGTCGTCCTTGGTCTGGCAAGTTTCGGCGGACGACGGCAAAGAGCCAGTGCAGGCGGCGTTCTCAGCAGCACACTGGGCCATGTTGGCATCGGGAGCAGTGCGGCAGTCGTCATAGGCAGTCGAACAGCAGGCGGCCTTATTGGCAGAACACAGAGACATGTTGGCGTCGGGAGCAGTGCGGCAGGCGTTGTCCTTGGTCTGGCAGTTGGAGGCAGCCAGAGAGCCAGTGGCCAGAGCCAGGGCAAGGAGGAAATTAACGCGAACCATTATGGCGGGTTGTTTTTTAAGTGAGTTGGAGGGATTTGGATTTGTGGAAAGGATTGGAGTTAGATATCTCTTCTAGCAAAGGGTGTTACACCTTTTTATACTACTAAGCTTGAAAATATCACCAAAAGAATCGTGTCGATATTTTCCAGCGGTCGATGGCTTGTTAGCTGGCTAAAGGAGATGATCGTCTGAAACAAATACTTAGTTTAGAGATGTCTTGGATAAATTTAGCCGGGAAAATCTTCAATGCAACCCTGAAATGATCTGAATAGCGCGTTGGATATGAGACAATGTTTGGGTGATAAGAGGTCCACATGGGGACCCGTCGAGGAAGTATTCCCAATCACATATACGGGGCGCTAGGTCTTCGAGTTAGTTAAGCTATTTATTAAATATAGGGAAACGGAAGTTATTAGGCTCTTTGCGAAGGGTAATAGTCTGAACTCCCGATTGGACATTATTTAATAAAATTGGCAAGAGGATAGATATACAGGCTAGTGATTAAGTGTACACGGAAAGGCCGTTAGTCTCACTCATTCATTCTCCTGGTCCGCTTTTCCCATTAAATAAATATTAATGATCAGCATCTAAAAACAGGAGGCTATGGACTTATTGTACCCCACACGGTATATCCAGGAGCTTGTCGCCAAAAAGCCGTTCGTGTTCTGCCCAGCAGGGTAACTACCCCGAGCAAGACTCACAATGTAACTCCCCACTGGTAATAAGCTAGGTGTTCTCAAATGTCTAATTTAGGAGTTCCAATATTGAAGTACTCCGTACCATGTCCTTCTTTTCGACGGCATTAGTATCTAGGAGCTCTGGTTACACCCAAAGCCAAGATATACCAAGCTTTCAGTTCATCAAGGCCCATTTAGTACTTACTACGTAGTAGGGCCCGCAAACCTAAAACTTCGTGGGCAAACGGGGTTTGTCTAATGTCACAATGCGTCTACTATACCGAAGATTCAACCCATTTGGCGCCTGAGACACGCCGCCGTGCTAGCACTGATTGTCGGGGCTTTGTCCCGAATCCGAATCTCAATATCTCTTTTCTTCGGCAAATACATAAAAGCCTATTTTGGGAACATCGTGGACGATCGTCAACTGGAGGCACCTTTGACAGAGCACCTCGGCCGCCCGCGGGATCCGTATCTTAGTAAGCATAAACAGGAACCCCGGAAGGTCTCTACCGCAGCGACGAAATTGTGTTGTAACAGAAGAATATCGTTTCTAGCGACGTGGCCATGTCTCCCGTGTTAGACCGCCATATGTTATATGATTATGCACGAGTAGACCAATAGAACGAAGGACCACTCAGGGAGATCCAGGGTTCCCAATCTGAGCTTAATCATGCTTAGGTAATACACGATGCCAAGTCTCCAACCAAGGTTTCGCCGGGGCAGCCCTAAGTGGAACCTTGAAATTCCCTCCAATTCCCATGCAGAAAAAAAAATGAAAGACCAAAAAAGAAAATCTTAGGATTGGTTTTTAGGAATAGCCGAACGCGGGGGTCGAACCCGCAGCCTTAAGATTAAGAGTCTTACGCTCTACCGATTGAGCTAGCCCGGCTGGGCTGTTGGAAGACAGGAGTTTGAAAGATAGATGAGTTCAGCCGAGAAGGACCAGCAAGTAAGCGCCCATCACGATTCCCAACCAATCCCAAGATATACTTGCTTCCCAAGTCCGCCATAGGCAAGTTATTGACCACGAATCAAGTCATGGAAGTTGGCTTCTCAAGCTCAGTAGCATCCTCAGTTCTCCAGAGCGAGGTAACAGTCTTCCACTGTGTATAGAACCGGATACCATCCTTTCCATAGAAATTAAGCATTCCCGTTCCAGCAACACTTCGCTTGTTACCAGTGAAGGAGAACATGGGAAGGGGAACGGGGATGGGAACGTTAATTCCAACCTGACCGGACTCAACGCGCTTCTGGAAGTGAGTCGCGCTAGATCCGGACTGGGTAAAGATTACTGCACCGTTACCCCATTCGTTGCTGTTGATAAGATCGATTGCACTGTTGATTGTATCCGCATTCATGCAAAGCAACACGGGGCCGAAGATCTCCTCTTGATAGCATCTCATTTCGGGTTTCACTCCGGTGATAATAGTCGGTCCGACCTATTAATATCAAATTGACGCATTAGCAGGACGGTTTATAGGAGCTGAAGTTAACATAGGGACTTGGGACTCCCATACCCAGTTTCCGTTAGGGAAACCCTCCGGTTTCTGATTCCGACCATCCAAGGCGATAGTAGCACCCTCCTTCTCCGCACTAGAAATGAGGTCTACACAGCGATCCCGGCTCTGGGGTGTAATTAATGGACCCAGATCAGACCGTGCGTTGAACCCACTTCCAGCCTGGTATCCCTTGGCACTCTCAATCAATTCCGGGAGCCATTCCCGCGCTTTACCAACCGTAATCAAAACACTTAGTGCCATGCAACGCTGACCAGCTGCTCCAAATGCAGCACCGGCGATAGCATTTAAAGCATGCTTCTTATTGCTATCCGGCAAAAGAGCAGCGTGATTCTTAGCTCCCAGATTCGCCTGTACACGCTTTCCATTCGCGGTGCCACGTTCATAAATATATTCTCCAACCTTATTCGACCCAACGAAAGAGATAGCCTTGATCTCTGGTGCATCCAAGATAAAGTCAACGGCCGGTTTCGAACCATGGATGACATTCACAACACCAGGTGGGAAACCCGCCTTCTTGCACAGTTCAGCGATGATCATCGAAGCACCGGGTGCGCGCTCCGTCGGCTTCAGAATCAGACAATTACCAGTCACAATGGCAATCGGGAGACTCCAAAGGGGGATCATGGCGGGGAAGTTGAAGGGACAGATAGCTGCGACGACTCCAAGCGGGAGACGATAGGAACGGGTTTCCATATCCTTTGCTACCTCGAGGACCTCGCCGGGAAGTTGGGTGGTGATTCCGCAGGCGGTTTCACAGACTTGCAATCCGCGGAGAACGTCGCCCTTTGCGTCGGCGAAGGTCTTGCCTTGTTCTGTGACGATTGAGACTGCTAGGGAATCCATGTTCTCGCGGACTAGGTTGGTTAGCTTGAAGATCATTTCTTGTCGTTTCATGATGCTGGTGTCTCGCCAGGCGGGGAAGGCATTTTGGGCTGAGATCACTGCGTCTTTAAGCTCGTCGAGGGTTGTTTCTGGGACTCGGGAAACTACATTGTTTGTTGCGGGGTCGTGGACATCGATCCATTTGGTTGTCTTGGAGGCATGGAGTTCATTGTCGATGAAATTTTGGGTGTCGTAGATGGTATCAGGCTTGTTGTGGTCGCCTTTATAGTTTAAAGTAAGGAGGTGAGTTTGGGCCATTATTGCAAGTAGAAAGAGAGAGTCTTGGAAGTTGAATGTCCAAGTGAAGGGATATGGGGGGGTACCTGGGTATTTATATAAATGAGGGGGAAAGTGCGGGGAAAAGCCGTCATGTTCCCTCTACAATACGATAACTCTCGATATAATCACCTATGTTGTATATTGCTGTTCTTATTTATATAGAAAATATCTATATGACCAATTCTAGAGCATATCCGATTGAGGTATATTCCGTGATATATCTATATCTACTATATACCAACCTAGGTACTACTTCAATATCATCTTTTCACATATTCAAATATTCAAATATTCACAATTCATCAGTGAGAAACTCACTGAAATATCTATCTGAAGTTTATACAGAAGGGTGCTGGGGGTATGCTACATGGTCATCATCGAATTAAGCTAAAAGAAAGAAAAGAAAAACACAAAAAAGCTAGACAAGCTCTATGTATATGATGTCTATGCTCACGTTCAAATGACACAAGACCAGATCAGAACAGTCCAACACCAACATCATGATCATGAGTCATTCGCATGAATAATGCACAGCTCCTTCGCATGCCAAATGCGTCGTCGCCGCACAACATCCGCACCAAAGGTATCCATGATACCATCCTCGTTGTAGCGAGCAGTGGAATCACCATCATCGCCAAAAGACGGACGTAGGAGTCTGGCTTCCTCAATGCTTGCACCGAACTCGTATTCGCCGCGGCATAGGACCGTAACCCCGATGGAGGCGTTGGTGGACTCACCGCTGGCCAGGATGGGGAGTGCTTGTTGCAGCATCCCGGTCCACACGAGACGACGGGTGAGGTCTAGGGCGATGTTGTTTGGTTGGTGGCGGAGGCTGGGTTGGAGACGGAGGAGGGGATGGACGGGCCGAGAGGAGCGGTTGTGGACGGTGACATTTAAGGTGAGGAGATCGTCTGTCTTGACGCGGAAGCGTGAGCGGCCTGTTTGTTCCACTGCGTCGGAGGTCTCGGGTGAAGATGATGGCGAGGTCAGAGAGAATTGCATATCGACGTCTTCGAGACGCATGGCTTCGACCATGCGGTTGTTCAATCGGACGTTTCGGAGATCGATGGATCCCTCGCGGCCGGTGGCAGGTTCTTTCCAGCCTCCCAGAACTCTCTTGAGGAGCTCTTCCCGGAACCAGAAGGCCTCGCGCGACGCTGCCTCGGCTTCGAAAGAGAGTTTGTTGGCGCTGACGACGAATTGTCTCCGAGTGCCGGTGTTGACGACGGGAATAGAGGCATGTGGGTTGTCTAAGTAGACGCGAGGCAAAACCAGAACAAACCGACAAACTTGCCCGGGTTGGAGCTCCCCTTCGACAGAGTATTTGCCTTCAGGGTCATCCTCGGTCGTTGCATCCGGCGGGAGATTTGCCATCGTTTGTTCACTTACGCGCAACCACACCGATAGAGGACTCGGCCATGCGTTGCGCAGGTCAAGCAATACGACGCAGTGATCGGGCCCATAAGCCCCGTTGCCGAGACGCCCGAGGACTTGCGAGAAGGGATCGTTGTCAGTGGTGGAGAGCAACGCATCCGGCTTTTGTATAGAATCGATGCCGGCAGGTGAATCAATATTGTTCTTCCACGCGAAATCACCACTAAACGGAAGAATGTCACAGCGGGCAACCTCCACGCTCGCATTGACCGTGACTGTCAACGGCACAAACAGCTGTCGGGTATAGAATATATCCGGCAATTCACCCGGGGCTGCCCCAACGCAGGAATAGTCGATCTGGACTGTTGTGTCCTGCAAACCAGGCTTTCCGAGAACGTCAACGGTAAATGTTGCCTTCTGGCCTGCTGCAATCGAACAATCATTGGGGTCCTCGCCCTGCCGGCGCCATCGCAAAGCGGGCTTGGTTGCTAATTTGAGCTCTAGCTCGTAGATCTCGACCGGCAATAGATCCCGGTTACTCAGTGCAGACTGTAGCTGTCTGGTGGTTGAATCTTGGAAGGTGAATAGTATAAAGTCCACGGGGCACGAAGAGGCATTTTGAAGTGTAATGGTGAAGGTTTTGACTTCACCCTCGAGGACCATCATGGCAGACTGCGAGAGAGACATAGATTCGATGACAAGTGACGGCTGTTTAGCGATGACCTTGACTTCACATGTTGATGTTTCAGGACCTTTCTTGACATCAACCTTGCCATCCTTTGCGGTCGTTGAGCTCCAGGAAACCGGGCGCTCTGTAAGAGGCTTCTTTGCCCCCAGACCTGTTCGCTTAAACTTGACCTCAGGTTCAGGTTTCCAGAATGTCTTGAAGATAGGGAATCTTCGCGTTCGACAGTTCCGTACTTTCACAATACATCCCGTGATCTGAAGGCTCCCTTCCCCATGGGCGACACCAAAAACAGTGATCTCCTGCACAGAAAGGGGAGCGATGACAAAATTCTCTGCCACAGCATCAAACGGCACACCCGTGCTTTCTAAGCGCAATTGTTCAATCTCGATCTCAAATTCATAAGGATTTTGCAGAGTTACTTGGAACGGCGCAAGTTCATCAGCGACAGTGAGCATTTCCAGTGCCTTGCTGGTAGGCTTGGCGAAGGGGTTGTACAGGAACGGATCCTTTTTCGCCTTGTCCGAACTTGTGTTGACCGCATCCAGTTCCGTTTTGGACCGCCGAACAGGCTTTTTTGGATCTGCCAGTGACAATAACTGAACATCACGTACTAGGAAGTCATCCCAGTACTCTGCGACCAGATCGGAAACGCCTAGCCTGGTGCCTGCGCCCACAGTGCGCTTAATGTTGTTCAAAAGACGAACTTGTTCGTCTTGCGGTAGATACGGCGGGGATCTGATTGCTTCGCCCAGCATCATATCTCCCCGAATAGTTTGCAAAAGCTCAACTGTGAACCGAAGAACTCCGTTGAAATCAGGAAGCGCTTCGCAGCAGTTTATACATGCTTTCAAGACATCAATTTTCAAGTTCAGATCACCGTAACGATCAAGAACTACATGTCGGAATGCTCGCTCGGCAATACTAGCAACTGAATCATATGCAGAGCTTTCCTGCTGCTCGCTCACACCAGATGATTTGCTTTGCCTCTTCTCCCATTCGTAGAACGACGAAGGTTGAACACCGTATATTTCTCCAATGGTCGCAAGAAGGAGACGCACACTTGACTCCATATTCCCAGACCCCGTGTCCAGGGAATTCACATTAAACGCTGTGTCGCTGAGAGACGCCAACCCGGCAGCAGGATGAATGCCTACCTCCGCGGCACCAATTTTGCGTGCTTGCACTAGACTTGGTACCATTACCGAAAGAAGCTCACGCAAAATGAATGCTTTCTTTCTAGGTAGGTCAAGGATATTAAGAACAGCAACAACGCCAACGATGATGGGAACAGCGTCAGTTGCAGGTAGGTCCGCACCAGGGGAAAGCGGCAAGGCCCGGTACAAGAAGTTAGCAATCTCAGACTTGCGGAGCAAAACAGTTCCCCGAGGAAGCTCCAGCTGTAGCAATGGAACCAAGTGTTCATTCATCACGATGTGCTTCAAGGCATTGTCATCCAAAGCTCCATCACGAACACGAGCTGACACCATCAGCCGCGCTAATCGAATCACCGTCTCCGAGAACACCAACTGCGGAAGAGGTTCATCTGTGATATTTGCGGCGCGGGTATAAAGGTTTAAGATGTTGTTAGAGAGATCTGGCAGGAGGTTGGCTAGGTTGTGTAAAGAGATTATCCTATTCCCTGCGCTACTAGGAGTCGTTGAGTCGCGGGAAGGTTTGGAGGACTTGTCCGCAACAGGGTACAGGACTGACGGTATCTAGTAAGCAAGTAAGCAACCTAGCAATCACACAACTACCCAGGGTATTCAATGGCGCTGTTGGCCATTCACATACCTGAAAGTCCATTCCTGCCCAGCCAAACATCAGCAGGCAAAGAAGAATTGTTTCAAGCGCTTTAGCGTGCCAGATGTAGTCGCTGCTTGCTCGAGAATTATTCACGGCTTCGGTCAGTTCCTTGAGGGCATCGGGCCACCTTCCCGCCTGCAGGAAAAGAGTTCCAATGATCAGCCCGGCACGACCCTTAATTCGGTTCTTAGTTCTGTCAGTAGCACTCATTCCACTGACAGACATCCGATCGCGGCTATGCTCCTTCGGGGATGCTGTTGAAGGTGCTCTGCTCCGGGAATTTGTACGACTGGATAGGTGAATTGCCCGAGTGATCTCATCAAAGGTTGTAGGAGTCTCATGATCGCTAGGAGCTGGGGAGCTGCCGTTGGAGCTCAACGGAGTGCCATCATGTGTGCCATGCGGATTCGATGGTAGCTGTGCGGGCAGAGTCATACGATTCAGAAGTCGGTCTACTGGCCGTGGCCGTAGTTCTGGGTTTCGGTGCGGGCCCCATGAAGATGCTTTAGGTGACTCGATTGTCGGTATGCTTTGTATGGTCCTTGCAAACCCATCCAATTCGGAGAGTAAAACAGATGTAACATCGCATAGAACTGTCTTCATTGTCGTGGCCTTAGAAACCTGCGGCGGAGGAACCCAAAGGACATTATCCGGTCCATTCGTAATCTTATCCAAGCCATGGTGATCAAAGACCAAGAGTTGGTGTACCAAAGCCCGTGGGTTTCTCTCCTTCACCCCATCAAGCTCTTCCAATAATTGATACAGCCCCTCGGGAGTGGGATGCTTCTGCTCGTCGCCAGTGCTTTCGGAGAGTTCAGACCCATCTGCGATCGCAATAATGACCAATGGCTCTCTGTATAGTTCAAAAGGAAATAGCTCGAGATGCGAGGTCGGGGGGACCGAGAAGGAAAGGTCATAAAGAATCAACCCGGTAGGAAATGCCAGCGGTGAGAACATGTCTAGACAACAATAGTTAGTATATATGGTAGCAATATCCACAAGCTTCTCGCGATAATGTGTAGTGCATACTTCTGTTTGGCCGCGCATCCGGACTAATATCCCCTAGTCGGACTACATTTTCAGCTTGTAGTCGGGCGGCGAAGCTCAAAAAGCG